TATTCAACCCTTTTATGAATAGGAAAATGATTGAATTATAAAACCTTCTGGGAGACGTGTGTTATAACTTAAAAAATTCAGGACACTCAAACTGAATTACCCAACAGGTTTTTTTTATTTAAAAGTCATGCATACTGCTATATCATATCTTTGAACCTTTTCTTCCGTTTTGGACAACAGTCAGTGCTTCATAGTTGAAGAAGAGCCTGGATTATGCATGACAAAGTGGGATACTTCAATGAAAATGCTGGCTAGAGTTACTATTCTTGATCAGGGATTCATAATTATAAAGTTTTAAATGAATTTGTGAATATGTCTGTGGTTATGGAGATATAACTTGCATAGAAAACCTTTGAAGTCCACAAAAGGGTATAATTCATTCATGACCTAGGGCAATACTAGCGTTGCATGCCTTGGACTGTAACTTTTAATCATGACTCAGAATATATATGGGAAGTTTTCATGAGAACAACATCTGTGTAAAATGGGATACAATGTTGCATTTAAAAACTTTAACAAGATAAACCGTAAGTTTGTAACATCAGCAACAAAGAAAAGGAGCAGGGTAGTCCTGTTGTTTGAAAATTTCCTTGTATGGTCAACCTACAATATAACACATACTATAATGACTTCTTCCCTCAAGGAAATTATTTTCTATCACTCTCCACTATATTAAAATTATCTAGCTATTTAAACTACCATTTCCTAAAATTGCTAGCACAAGTTAAACATGTCCATTATACAGTTATTCATCTGTAAACAGTCCTTGTTCTAAACTTACTCTGCTCGAACACTGGTTCTATCTTGACACAACACTGCATTTGGTCTGCTTCAACACTTCATGGTTCCGACTTCCTCCAACTTTCGAATCCATTTATGAGATATAATCTAACAAATATTTTCACGAGCCCTTACAACAAGTCTTTTCCTATCACCATAAAATCTTTACAAGAATCTGCTCACTCACTGTGATGTTTGTTCATATGATAAACCAGTCCACTTCTGGCCGTAAACGACCGATCACAACCCTCTTTGGTACACTTAAACGGTCTTTCGCCACTGTGCAATCTCTGATGAGTCTGTAAAACCTGCTTGCTGCCAAATTTCCGATTACAAATTTCACACTCAAACGGTCGAACACCCGCATGTGCGTTCACGTGATACTCGTACAAGTTTTTGTTTTGTAACGATTTATTACAAACGACACACCAGTACAACGCTCCCCTCTTCTGTGGTGGCGAGAACGGATCTATATCAAGCGAAGAATTATTAATATTGTTACCTTGTGGATACAGTGCTTGTTTCAGATCATCCGGCGACATTTCCGGTAACGTCCTTGATGAAAAGTCATGATGCGCGTTATCAAGACCGGGAAACGCAATACCGCCAAAATTGAAGTTATGTGACGCTCCCACTTTCTGTGTCTGCTCAGAGCCATCTGAAAAGACACAGAAAGATAAAATAAAGCATCACATAAAATATATTTCATAAGAAAACATATGTCAATACTGAATATAGGTCAATACTGAATACAAGACGGCCATCATGGCCCAGAGTCGCTCATCATATACAACTGCTTTTCAGTAAAAGATAAAAGACTACCTAAGAATGCTAAGGACAAAGTTTGGTGATCATCCATCAATTAGTTCTGTAGAAGCAGACTTTTAAAGGTATTTCAATTTTTAGCTTTAGCTAACAAGTCAATACTGAATATAGGTCAATACTGAATATAGGTCCAATAAAGATTAAAGTTAATATAGGACAATCATGAATATAGGTCAAGATATAATTATACAGATAGCAAATATCATAAAACTTTTCAAATATTAAAATATATTACCCATTCAAAATAAAGTGGAATAAAATATTAACTGTATACTATATCTGAGGAATAAGATGCTTAAAGTTTCATGCTAAGAATTTCTGTTTATTAGAACTAATCCTCATTTAAATACTTTACAAAGGCCATCACATTATTTTATTAAAAATTAAAATTTAACCAATCTTACTGAATTGAATCATTTTATTTTTTAATGTGACACCTCTAATCTTTTAAATTTGTTTATTTGTTGTTGTTTTTTTAAAAATTAAATCTTGACAGTGTATTTACAATTAGTGCTGATAAACATGTAGCTCAATTTATTAGACTGTGTTACTGTACATATAGATTTTTCATTAGAGAGGGAAGTCACAAGTATAAACCAGTCAATGAACCACAAAAAGTAGACTGTATTACAAGTGTGTTTTGAGGCAAAGCAGAAGTTGAAGATAGAAAACCACATGTGTCCTGTCCCATTCTTAAAATAGCAAATGCTTCATTTAGACTGAAGATTCTGAAAGTCATGCTTTTCGTAAGTTTTAGCCGATTGTGAATTTTATTATTTTTGAACCAATTTGCTCATTGGCTTCTGCTAATGTGAGCCTGGCAATTAAAGCCGGTTAGTCTTGGTCTGGGATGTGTCAAAACCGCAAACTGTACTTTTAGACAGGGTTTTACCATTGGGAGTCTCCCCAAGGTATAGCCTTTAATAGGGGTTTGAAGATCCAAAATTTAAAATCACTGCTATTCCCTAGGAGTGACAAGACTCTGGTTACAATTCACTATTGCAAGGTCCTGAATGGAGTATTTTGCTATAGAATGCCTCACTTGTGTACATTCTGATTAAAAATAGCTCCTAATTAACAATACCCTGATCCAAAATTTCTTCAACTGTTCAAGACATTGCCCAATGTTTTTATGCTTGATCTGGTTCAGAGTTCCTGGTTTGGCATTCATGGTGCTAGACTGGTGTGTACACAGTTGATTTTTATACAACAAATGGTTTAGAAGCTTGATCTGGTACAGAGTTTCTGCACTTTATTTATTAAAATTTGTTCCAATTTTCCAGACAATGCCATGGTGTAAGCCAGTTTAAAAAATCCTTCTGGTATCAAGTTTGGGCACTTTATTACTAAAATGTGTTCATTTTTTCCAAACAATGTCCCTGTGTGCACCCATTTTTTGAAGTTTGATCTGGCATGGAGTTCCTTGTTTGGCATATATTGTTCAAGGTGTGTACCAAGTTGATTTTGAGGCTGGCTACTCTAGCACTGTCACCAGAAGGCCTCTAGCAGTTTCCTACAAATGCCAATAACATCCTGTCCTTCATGCACAGACCTGGACCTGCCAAAGTATTGTTTTTATCAAATCAGGTCTTTAATGATGTCAGGGTTGTTATTCCGGTTCCGCACAGACTTGAACCTCAATAAACCCCACAACCAACTGAGGAGCCAATCAAGAAATAGGAGGAATGAGACAAGAAAAGCCAGTATGACCTTGACCTCTGACCCTTGAAGCAGAAAGGATATTTAAAGACAATCAACAACTGTGAAAGTCTTGCTACAATATAATATAGTTCAAAGAATTTTTTGGTCACAAAATATTTTCAGACAAAAATAAGAGTGTACAAGTTTCATCATGAACACATAAGGTACTTAATTATTCCATTATCCAAAACTTTAAAGGGTCCAAAAAGTTCAGGGAGAGAGTTTTCAAAAAAGCTTGTCAAGCTTCCTACTCAATCCGTAAATTTTATTTTATGTAATTTATTATGTAAATGTGTGGATTATCAATAAAATATTGTTTAAACTAAAAGTTCAGGGAATAAATTTTCAACAGAAGCAATATATTAACAGAAGTTTTCTTTGAGGTCCATTAACAAAGAAAAACGTAGACACATGCATATAAAATGCTACAATGCTAAATTCTAACTTATATCTGCCCAGTTTTTTGCTAAAGAGATTGATGATCATGATACCCAACACCAAACTTTATGTGATAGAGCATCACACAACTGCTATTAGTACCCTTACTACCCTAATAATCATAAATGGACTTGTCCAACTTTAAATCTAGACAAAACCATTCAGCAATTTTAGTGAACATTTCAAGATACATTTAAGTATTGACTAAATACAAATCAGTACAGGAAGTGCTGGCTGATCTTGGTCTGCACTAGCAGCACTGATAGAACCTAATGATACCTGAGCTACCAGCCTGACCAAGGTTTATTAGGCTACAGTTGATATTATAAATTTACCAGAAAGTTTAAAGTTTGTTGGTTTATTTGGATTGGTTTAAAACATGGTTGTTAACAGTATTTCAATCAAAAATGGATTGTCGATTAGTAAAATCGGTTACAGCAAGCAGATTTTAAGTTAAAAGTAGGGATGGCAACGAGTAACCGGTTAACCGAGTACTCGATCGAACGTCCGAATATCGGTTAACAAAATTGATATTTGATTACTCGCAAAAATATATATTTTCTTTTTTTTTGCGATTAAGAAAGATTGGTGTATCCAAGTAGTTCAGAAATTCGGAGAAGTGCATGTATCTTCATAAATACCCGTTAAATGCAATCAAAACATCCTTGCAGAGGTGCGAAAATGATATCATAAATTTAACGAGGCGATCAACAGTTTGACACGCGCACCTGTGTCGCTTATGTCATCCAGCCTCTTATGATATTTAATTACCTTTAATTGTGTAGCCGAAGTAACTGTTTTGAAAACAACAAATGGCCGATTGCTATCATGAATGTTAGAATAAAGGTAACTAGTATTTAGACCAGGTTAAACTTTTGTTGCCGCTGATCAGTCTAAATTATTTAAAGAAGAAAAAAGATCTATGAACTGTTGTACATGTTTAAAACTTGATATTGCATTAATTAAAACGTTGTAAAATATTATGTTGTTGATTTAATTATAATTAATTTGTATCCCTTGCAGTCCTATTTACTATCTACAGAATTCTATGAATTTAAATAGAAAACGAAAGTAGCATGCGGACGGTGTTGATATTGAGTGATAAACTTTGAAGATCACTGGCAATCATCCGAGTAACCGAGTACTCGATCGGAAAATTTACCGAGTACTCGAGTATTGATTTTGGTATTCGTTGCCATCCCTAGTTAAAAGTGTTTAAAAATCAGCCTGTATATGTATGTATTATCCACTTTTAAAACAAGTTTATTTCATGTTATAATGATAATTATTATTAATAAAATTTATCATAATTAACGTTCTTTTCATATTTCTTGTTTTTCGAATGTTTCTTCAACTAAATATGAATGCTAAAATTAAAATACCAACACTTTCACTAAGCTGTCTTGTACAGCTTTTAAAACACATACGACATTCTATAATACACTAGCAATGGAAAACTGTTTATTGCACAAAATTAATTATGAGTATTATATTCATAATGCCCTATAATAAACTGTCACAAAGTTTTTCCTTTGTCCAGACTAATGTAAAATACTTTTTAGTAATGTCTTTGGTTTATGTACACAGTGGTCATGCTAAATCAATCACTGACCACTTCAATAAATTGTACATTTTACATTAAAAGTCTCAAAGGAATGTTCCTAACATCAAAACTTAAACCGTCACATTTTCAAACTTTTGATAAACATCATCACATAAAAGATTACATTTTTTCGAACTTTTGTACTTTTCAAGATGGAAGACAATTTGCTGGGTTCAGTTCGAAATCTTCAGCTCATTATCCTGAGAATATTAAATTTCTTATCAAAAATGGCTTTGAAAAAGTTTTTGAGCTGACACGACCGATCACTGTTGTCCAGTATGAACTTTCATTTTGTGATAACGCAGCGACGCAGCATTTGCATAAGCAGCGTCACAGCTTGTACACTTGTACGGTTTCTCCCCGGTGTGCATCCGCCTGTGAGTTTCCATTTGCTGTCGCATACGGAATCGCCGCCCACAAAAATCGCAGTCGTAGTGTGGGACTTTGTGTATATCGTATAAATGATTCATATGTTGACCTTTCGTGGCAAATTTAAGATTACAGGACGCGCAACTGTACGAACAGTTTATGTACATGTTTGTTCCCGGCTGGACTGGATTTGAACTAGACTCCGCTGGTGACACTGCTGTTGTATCGTCATTTATCTCTCTATGGCTTTCCATAGTTCTCCCTGTGACATTATCCAGAATGTGTCGGCTAAGAAATCCTCTATTAACAGGAAACTGCCTCATGAAGTTACCTCCAGGATGGGAATTGCTGGACAGGGATTCAACTGCAGATTGAGGCCAATTTTGACTGCTTTGCAACCACAGTGCATCTGAAAGTAGATAGGGTCCTCCTTTGAGTTTCTTCTCCCTGGAATCAACTATTGACTGTAATGCATGCCCGGAGATATTTTGATATTTTAAACTGTCCTTAAACTGCCAGGAAAGATGATCCATTTTACCAACAATGTAGTGAATTATAGGATGCATAAACTCGGCATGAATTTATTAGAGAATTCTTGTTAAAGCAAAAAAACTGTCACTCTTCACACATTATTTTTATACAGACCATAGTTATGATTGTATAGGAAACAATGTCAACAGGCCTTACTCCTCTGGGTTCTAATCCGAAATTAGTATTAAAAAGGTTTATAGCAACCAACAATTGCCATGTCATCATGAACTTTCACAAGATTGAGTATGGTTAGAGTAAGGTTAGAGTAGAAATATTTGGGGAAAGTCCAGAAATGTTCAATTACAGAAGTCTTATTTGGTCATTTTAGCCGAACTTGTTTTTGGAAATATAAAAATTTTGGTACATTTAGCAGGGATTTTTGTGGGTAGGCAGAGGGAGGGGAAACAAACATTATTTTGTATTAGGCCTTATGTGTACATCCACAGTATGCACTCGGGTGCAATTCCAATCAAATTTATGATTATTTACACATACACCTTCAATCGAATCCTCAGTGATGCATCCAATATATATTATAAACCCTTTCCTAAACTCGTGTAAGAACAATGTATTTATACAATGAATTGACTTAATTTAAGCAGGGGCCTTTTCTACATTTATAAAGGTGACCTATTCAAAAAGAAGACATATTTAACAGTATGTTTTCTCTTTGCCAGTTGTGAAGAAGAAAAAAAATCACATTTTTAAATGTATCTATTAAAATGACTTTTTTTGTTGCATTTTCATGAATTTAAAATGGCTGTATTAAGCCAATAGGATTACTTGTTTCTAATAATAGCTTTGAAAAAAATAAAATTAGGTATTTAGATATTTTCATAAAACTTTTTTTAAACCTTTTTTTTTGAAGTATGTAATATTAAAAACCGTGATATTAAGTCCATATTTAAACAATGTTGTAACTGCAATATGTATTGTAACTATGTTTAAAGTTTTTTTCTGTTTTCATGATAAATATATTTTTATTTTTCATCAGATTCTGACATAACTTTTTTTGTTCTTAAAAGCACATTATGTATCAGAAATCCATATCTTTTAATTCTTGTGAAATGTCAAACATGTGTTGAATAATGTTTCCATAATGAAATTAGGGGATGTTACATGTTTAAATACTGAAGAAAGTAGCGTTCAAAGAACAGTATTGTGTCATAAAGGTAGCAAAATGTAAACAAAGTACTTAGTATTTTGACTTCCGTACAAAACATTAATTCACTATAATTACAAAATGTATACCAATTGCCAACAGCTTAAAGTGCAAAGATAGTTCATGTATATAGCAAATGAGTATATTTTTGGAAACTGTAACAAGGAACCAAAAATAAGAAGTTTTTGAGAAATGAAATTGAAAGCATTTCTGAGGATTAAATGGAAAGTTAACAGGCACTTGTCTACTGGGCATGCTTGTAACTCTGTAAATGGGAAACAATCAATTGTTTATGCTATAGACCTAAATCTATTCTACTCTTCCACCTTGATTAAAGCATTTACTTACTGTATGAATTCTGATCAGGTTGACCACCGTCATTTTGTCCAGAGGAACCGTAACCCTGACCCCAATTTTCTGATGATGACAAAGAGTTGTCTCCCATTTCGATGCCAGTGACCTCAAGGTCATTGTCGGCTGACTGGGGCTCCGTTTTCACAGTTTGAACAGAGTTGCCTATATTGTCCTGGCTTGAAGACTGACTAGAATCAAAGGATTCATTTTGATTAGTTGCCTGGTTCGACAAATTAGAATCGTCCACCGCTGGAAATTCGACATCCCCGTCTGACGTGACCGAGTCTAGAAAGTTATCAGCAGCGTCGGCAGTTTCGGTTTTTACGCTTGAATTATTGCTGGTTTTCATTTCACTTATATCATGTTGTGAAGACATTTGGAATGATGGTGAAGAGGTAACGATGCTGTTGGCTCCAGGCGAACCGATGGAATAAGGTGCTGGGCGTATTCGAGGTCGCTGACGCCGGGCAGGGGGCATTAATGTTCGACTGCGATTATACTGCGGACACTCTGCCTCTTGTGACTCTTTGGTATGCTGACCTGAAATTGGAAAAGTATTTAAATGGAAACATCACTCTACAAATTCCAGGGTGTTTAATATACTCCGAAACTCAAGGGTCAATGACTCATCAAAGGGTCTATCATGTATATTTGCTGTAATTCTGAAAATTAACCCTCTAGGCAGAGTAAATTGCAAAATGTACATAGCTTTGAAATCTATTACAGAATACATCGGTTTGTTAGCGATCAATTACGTTTCTATGCACCAGCAGCAATTTCTCACATGTTAAATATAACTGCCAGCTGATTTTATGACTGGTTTATTAATTTTATCATTTCTGAAAGCCAATAACCCATCATTTTCTCTTCTCTACATATAACAAGTGTTTTTTTCATGAAATGATACTGAGTAACGCAAGGTCTTTTTTTTAAACAAAATTGGGTTTTACATTGCAATGAAGAATCAAAAGTCTGTGGCAGTATTTGAACCTAAACCACTTTGCCCTAACTGGGCTCTTAATAGTTTCAAGCAAACAAGACCCCTAAACATCACAAATCTTCTATGGACACTTTTATCATACTTTTTAGGCAATATCCCAGGAATTGTGCCTTTATTTCGTCTCTCCCCTCCAGGAACCCCTTGCCAGTGTTGGATCCCAAATGAGACAGGGAACCATCATGTACACTTGCTGTCAGAATGATGGACTCTTCACCAGTCTGGTTTGACAATTGTTCCATCTGAAAAAGTTATGTCAAAAACATAACGTCAATCTTCCTTTTTCAAATACATTTTTAAACAATGATTCAAAAATTAAAATAAGGTAGAATTATGGTTCTTTTGAGATTGCACTACCTTTAATGCATTGTGTAAACTTTTTTTTCAAATTCATTCAATACTTTTTGTCCATGTAAAAAAATCAAGCTGATAATGTTAAGAAAAAGTCTTTAACCAGTGGGAGACTAAAATGATTAGTGTTTGTCATCAGTATAGAGAGAGCAAAGTCAGCAAGCACTGAAAACTATGCATGCTAGTAGCTCAATTTTTGTATTTAGGTATTGAAATCTCATAAACTTTGAATGGACTGTTGTAAATTCAAATCCATTACATAAATATCTACCAGTAATTTAAACTAAAGGGTAATTATATTTAGAAAGTACTGACTGAATTTCATTTTGATTAAAAATTTGAAAGAATATTTAAACACCAATGTGACAGCATGACATTTCAACCTACCAACATCTGTATTTGCGATTTGAGGACTGACTTCAGGATTGCCTTGTATCCTGGAATCTCCTTCAACACATCAAGTTCAGTAGCCATGGTTACAGCCTATGTGTGATCCTTAATAATCCTCAGGTGTAAATCTTATAACAAAACATATATGCTTGGTGTTGAAACTAGAAGTTTAGTCATTGGTGGCACTTATTTTCAAACCACCAGACCTGCAACATAAATGATAAAAAGACATTTTAATGATTTTTCAAACCTGTTTTCTTAATCATCAATTTTAAACCTAGTAAAACTTCTTTAATATTACATAGCTATAAGACTACTTGTAGGCTACCTAAGCTTTCTTGAATGAATTGTACCATACTATTGATTAACATTTTTTTACAAGGAAGAAAGTAACGTAGTCAAAGTAGGTGACATACTCTAATACTATGCCTCACACCAACTACAAAATGTCAGTTAAAATCTTAATATTTGGAAAGTCTGAGCATGGCAGACTTCAGATTACTGACTAACAAAAATGGCAGACAAAGCACTTGGAACACTTCGATGATCGGTATAACACCACCAATTCATTTGACTCTAATAACGCTACAAAATACAGTGACATAACTGCATTTTAAATTTTACTCATTAATATTTAGGCAAAAAAAAAAAATATGTCTGGTTCAGGAAACCCGACCTACCCTATTTTTTACCCCCAACCCTAAACTTTTTTTTTGATTTTCGCTACAAAATTTTTGGGGTTCAAAAAGTTTAATAAGCTTCAACATTTTTGAATGTGAAAAAACTATAAATTTTGCTGTTCATTGTTTCAAATATTTGATATGAGATACTTAATATACTTTTATGTACATGCATTATTTTACTGGATAAAAAGGAAGAATTCAAAGAAACCACACGTCTTTGAACCACATGCATTATTTTAGTCAACTTAATGTTTGGCCAATCTCAAAAAACTTATCATATAATTATTATACGACGTCAAGTGTGAGATGTCAACAGCCATCCAAGGGGCAACATTTTGGAAGGTGAAGTTACATTTTTTAGGGCATTATTTTGTTTCTTTTAATAAAAGTGATTCATTTACAAGCTGCTTCAAGCGAAAAGATGCTAAACTGTTTGCTAGTGTCATTGTTAACTTGTTAACAGTGACCATTTTAATATAATTCTTTACCGGCCTATTCTTTACCAATACCATTTATATTGAGACTGCAGTGAAACACACTATGCAGTATGCTGGAAGTTACAAAATGGTGTTTGCATTGATTGACTACAATCTCTGTTTAAGTATGTTATGCAAGCAACACATCTGAAAATGGAAAATAAGACGTTTCAAAAAAAAAAAAATTAAAAAAAATGAAAATCCCTACCCTCCTAATTTTTGGGCCAATGTTTCCTGAACCAGACATATTTTTTTATTTGGCCTTACAAAGTCCAAAAAAGATATATATTGTTTATATTTGTTATAACATCATAAGGGTTATCTCGAATCGTTATCCCTACCTAATGTCATATTACAGGTAGATGACAGACAGCATAAATTGTGAACTACTAAAAATTCACAGACTGACACATCAAGAAATTTAATAATGCTGTTAAAATTTTATTAAATGTCCGTGAATCATGCCAGAAATGTGTCTATGTGATGAAATACTAAGCTTTTCAATAAAATAATACTTATTTTTGGAAATTGCAAATGAATGTTATAAATAGTCTACTGTATAATTTTAATTTCTTTGTTCAATGATAACCACATAATTCATAAACATGTGCATGTCTGATACATGTATAATATATCACATCACATGTAACCTAGTTCCTTTTTGAATTCCTTTAAACAATCTGTAAAATTATCAATTTATAATCAAATGAGATATTGATAAAGCATCAAATATCACTGAATAATTTTACTCACAGCCGCCATCTTTATAAAAAAAAGTCGGTCAAAAAACGCAAAATATTTTTTCTCAATATTTCACTAAAAGATTAATAAAATGTGTCTATTATCATGTAAAGGTTTTGCAATTCATATTTATTCACAATATTCGTTGGAAACGAAGCAAACACATACCTAAAGCGACACAATTATGCGTCGATTAAATGAAATTAAACAAAGCATCAATCCAGACTCAATTATCTGATTACCTCCATTTTTATTGGCTTGAAGAGTACTCTAAACAAACATGGATAAAGTCTGTTCACCGTTATGTATCCGTCATGGAACGTGAACGTTTTTTCTTCTTGGTTTTCTCCCCAGGATTTTATTAAAATACCTTATCTATTGTAGATTGGTTCATTGAAAGGGTTAATAAGGATTTATCCAATATTTTTTTTAATTCACAAAAGTGATTTAAAATCAATGTGGTTTCTATTTGAAGATTAATTAAGTTATTAAATTGATATTTAAGATTACAGGTATTGTCCTTCTATGGTGGCAATTAATAATGGCAAGTAGACAATACCTTATTTATCTTTTATAACTGATGTTCTTGTACTTTTCTTTGTTTTTATTGTTATTGTTAGGAATTTTTTTTAATTTTTATAAAAATATATGAAACTCATATCGCCGATTTTATAAATATCTTAGAATTTCTAAAATCCACACTTACGTATTATGAACTACCTTTTAAACAACAAGATACGTTAAGGGAAGGACCCTAGGTAATGATGGCATAATGTTTGGCCCAACCTGTTTTGTAAGTGCATTATACTTATCCTTAAGAAAATGAAGAAAATGATGTTAAATTGTGTTAATGTAATATCACACATATGTAATAAAATATTATCAAACTAAGATTAATTAAAATTAATTATCATTTAATTAATAAGCTTGAAAGTCGCCTTACCAGATCACAAGTACTGGTGACGTAACACGAACTTGAACCTAACACGTATATTATCTACTTAAAATATCGTTCATGATTTTGCATGAAAAATTTGGTCCCCGATTTCAGAAACACTCTCCCGGCAGCTTTGCCTTGAAACATATTCGACGTTTTTAAAACCGGCAAAAGTTGCGACATAAGCGCTTGGCTTAAGTCAGAATACACTTAAAAACTTTCCCCATACTTCATCTTAGTCTAGTTTTTTCCGGTCTTTTGGTACCATTGATTCCAGCCCATATACTGCTGCTTATGCCGATACCAGTGGGTGTGAGGGACGTTTCACTTTTCATCGTTTTCAAGAAGTCCCATTCAACCGAGCCTGCTCTTTTCATGTATTTTGTTATTTTTATTGTCTACGGATGGCAATGCTTTTTCATTTTGTTTAAGTACTTTTCGCCCACTATCTAGTCTAAATTAAAGCTATCGACGACGATAGGGGAGGACACAAAAATCTTATTTTCGGCACCGGGCATAGTTATGAAATTGCGTAAAAAGTATCAGGAAGTGAAAGGTAGGAAGTGTATCATAAATGAAATGTATCATCTGATATCCTACCAAAATAGCACTAAAATTAAATGAAATGATATCTATAACGATTTATATCAGAGGTTATCTAAACAATAGTCACATATTTGACCTTGTTAACAATCAGCATATCTTATTGTATACTTCACATATTAAAAGAGGGGATCGTGATTTATAAATAACTATCTAACCAAAGTTTAATTTGGCGTTTTGGCAGTTAAACTAGTTATGGCAGGATTTGTACAAATATCTTATAGTTATATCATCTACCTTAACGACCCGGGATGTCTCTTTGGCAAGCACAGGCAATTTGAATATGTAGGACCTATATGTAGGGCCCTTACAATCGTCGGAACCCACGGTACACATTCCGTACATGCTACATTTAAGGCCGAATTTATTGGCAACAAACTGGTTTTGGTTTCAGTTTGGAGGTTTCGAAAGGGTTTTAAACCAGTTCGTTTTATTTCACAGTTTAGCTGTAAATATCCAGTTTTACCAAACTGCAATTAAATGGCGTACAAATATACTGTTTTTCCACCGTATAAATATATATAAGTGGTATACGGTAAAAAGCCTTGATTACCGATGATGGACCCTCCCTTACCCGCTGGAACCCTTTGCTACCTGTTTATTTTAGGCCGGTCTGCGCATGCGTGTAGTCTGATCAGGCTGTATATTGTTGGCTGACCACATTTTAAATGTTCGTCTTGATATCTGCAAAAATTTAAATGGACGATTCCAAAATGGAAGCTGGACAACTCCATTTCAGAATTTCAGCAAGTTAAAGGTCAATTGAGAAGTGTATTTCTTTTACCGATGATTTTGTTTATGACGTACACTTACAAATTCAATTTGAATTTTGTCAGTATCTGTGCCAAAATAAATGACTTCAATTTCCCATATGAGGCCCTAGTCCGTTACATACGGTATTCATTCTCAACAACAACAAACAAGCCAAAATCAAGTGTTCAAAGACTCATAGACGGGACCTCCATTTAAAGTCTCATCCGAAAGACTGATTAGTAATTTGGGAATCGAACCCACAATGTCGAGATTACAAGTCTCGCGCTCTAAACGATTGAGCTATGAGAGATGTGCAGTCCAGCATGACTCTGTATTATAAGTGGCAAACGGTTCAGGTATCAGTCTGAGTTGCATAATCTTATCAGTCGAAAGACATGACAGCAATTTTGGCAGCAACACCTTATTTTTCTCCATCATGCATAAAATGGTCTCATTGGCCTTCCTTGCATCAAAATAGTATCATCACAAAAATCGACTTGCATACATATATCTAAAGTACGAGTATCATTCAGTAAATTACTGAATTCAAAATTAATAGGTCACCATGATAATAACATTTAAGGACATGAATGGTAACATGTCCGGGGTCCGTACTCTCAGTGCCTGAAAGGGCGGATGGATCCTCATAAAGCGTAGAATACATGCGTACGTACACACATACACTCTCGGTTCAAGCAGGCTGTTGGTTTAACGAGACACCTAACTTTTGTAGGGTACAGTAACAATAATCAATGATAAAATATTATAATTGTTTTGTATTAATATACGTGTTATTCGAAAATAATCAAATCAATATGACTTTAAAAAAAACAGTAGAAAAGTGACATAAAAAAACGCACAAAATGTCTCATGGTTTAAGATTTTTGTTGGTTCTATTTGGACTATTTAGTGTACGCGTATGCGGAGGATTAATTGAGGAGTTTGAAGAGGAAAGTGGTCAGTATTAGTTATCAACATAATATCCCTTACTATACCTGATAAAAAAAATATTGAAATTTTCATATTTATTTGGTCAACTTACCTGATAATTTTTTATGTTCTGAAGCGCTTAATAATTTTACCGCGAAAGATAATGATTTAATATATTCATTTGGGTATAGTAAAATGTGACTTAAATAACAGGCCACAGAATAATGGTATCATAAATGGTATACAATATAGTTTGATATACACTATACATGTACAGATAGATTATCTATAATCTGTTATTATAGATCAGCGTGTATCATAATTTCATTTTAAACGTTCATCATTTCGTACAACTTCCGCTGTTTCAACTGTTCTGCATTCGGTCAAATTGAAAGTGTTTTAGTGATACAAATCCAATTGCATCTTCTCGACCTTTTCCGTCAATTAATGTTCGGATTATGAATAATAGCCGAGACGTTCCAATTGCGGGAGCTAGTGGGAGATCATTCGAGTTTTAACATTCTCGTTGCCCCTCATACTGTCGGGCCAATGCATTTAATGATTTTGTTTTTTAGCATCAGAAAAGTAAAAAAAAACATATGTTCGAGTCAAAAGCCCCAAAATCTCCCTGTGGATGGAGTTGTCGGTGTTACCATTAGCATATGTATTTTTTACCTTTCGAACTTCTCTTTTTCATGCGCAGATTTGCTGATTGATGAAGAAGAACCATTAAGATGTTATTTTTGTCATGCAATGGGTCCGACAAATGAGTGCGAGCTTTACCAGCCGTACATTGACGCCAGGGAGGCTGCCGACGATGGCCGTCAACATGACGGACCGGTCACATTGAAGACGTGCTCGCCACCGTTTGACGTTTCATGCATGATTGAAACCTTTATAAACAACATTGGTTAGTGTAACAATAATAATGTTATCTGATTTCCCACTAGAATAGAATTCTAGGAACAAATGAATAAGGGACTCCACTGAGTTGGTTTTTTTACATGACGGACATTGAAATAATTTTTCGAGATTAATGTTCCATTTGACGTAAGTCTAAACCAATAACTTGTGTGCAAAATTTCAGATTATTCGCTCACTCCATTTTTCCGGAATAATTTATCTTATTGTGAAAAATGACACAACGCTTTCCACTCATATCGGAATAAGAATAGCAGAAACATACGATATTTTTCATCTTTATTTCAAGTGCCCCAGCTGATCTATATAACGTACACAGTCTTTGCATGCTTCATTTATTCTGCAATTGTGCAATTGTTCAGTTGAAAAACACTTTTATTTTAGATGTACAACAGTTGTTTTAAAAAGTCATTATGTTGATGGGAGTATTGATTAAAAGAAATACGTTTTAGGTTATCAAAAAGCTGGCCAATGTCAATTCAATATTTTTGTTTATAATTAAAAACATATACATGTACTACTTTTCTGTGCAAGAGGAGGGAGATATTTCCATCAATATAAGGCCTCGTTCTTATTGTTTATGTATTTTATCGGCGACTAATTTCATTTAAAACCGTAATTCTCTCGAGTCGCAATTATATGAAACGTTATATGAAACGATTTATCTTCAAATAACATATTTAATCGTTAGAAAGGCTTAAGTCCGCGTAAACGACTGTTCAAAAAGATCCGATTGAAGCACATTCAATGGTTCTTTTTTGCTTCCTATTTTCAGGCGAGGTAGCACACATTCGAGATTGCAGTGATGATAAAACATTTGATTTTAACGAGATTTCGAACAATAAATCAAGCTATGCCCGTCTAATTGGTCTGCGTGACAACAACGAGACCGCATGTGTGTACGACGGCCAGAACACCGTCTGTCTCAGCAAATGTGGGCACAGTGAAAATATGACAGACTTTTGTAACGGCCCGCAGTACGGAAGTACCAGTACGGCAGTATTTTCGAAAATCTTGTTTATGACAATTTTGTTTTGTTATGTTTTATTTAACCCGTGATGCCGGCTCGCCACGGCGAGCCGGTATTACGATAGGATTTTACTGAGAAACAACCTAAAACCCCGAATCAATCCAAAAATTTAATCGAAGCTTAGCTTCCAGCTTTCTACAAAATTTATCTATCAGGGCTAGGATCCAAAATCATTTAGCCAATCAAATTTGATCTTATATAGCGTCAAAAAACCTTCAATTTTCACGCCATTTTTAAAAAGCAGCAAGTATTGTTTTGGGCGCAAAGATATATTGATGATTAAAATGTTTGTTTTCATGGATTCTTTTCAGTAAATCATATTTACACTGACTTTTGATTTAGCGATTTCACCAGTCCTGTTTACTCTGTAGTAAGTTTTCGTTTGGTTAATTAACATAAACGACATCTGGTTCTGTGCACTTTTTTTTTTCATTTTTTCCGGTCATTTTATCCTTTCCGATATTTAGTGTATGTATTTACTGGCCGGGATCCGGGATCGTATAAGATAATAAGGGAAAAAACTAATAAACTATATTTGTGTTGATTATTGTCGTAATGAAAGGACATTAAACGTTAAGTTTTTTTATTGTATGTAATGAAAGTTAAATTGATTTAACTTAGGATATAGATATATTTAGAGCTATTTATTAACAAAATCACAATACTTATAATTATATGCCTAATTAATTGGAAAAATCAAAGACTATATTCTTGAATTGGTCAAATCCCGGGATCCCTATATACGATCCCAGCTTTTCTGAAAACAATATTCTTGAACTGTCCAATTCCTTGGATCTCTTAATTTTTTAATATGATCCCGGCTTTTCTGAAAACTATATTCTTGAACTGGTCAATTTCCGGGATCCTATTTTTTTAATAGGATCCCGGCTTTTCTGGCTGAATTGATAGACAACTTGTGTTTACTTTAGGACTTGTATCTGTCACTTATTCCAATACTAAATAACATATTACAACTTAACTTCGTATAAAGAGACATTTTTATGAATTCTACTTATCTATTTTTTTCTGGTCAAGGTCAACAGGCCATATAGTAAATGTGCATAGACACAGGGACTTCATTCTATCTGTTTACATCTTCATATATACTCATATTCCTCTTTGTTAAACTGAGAGAACTGGCTTCCTTAACTTTATATGTCACTTTTATTTTGATGTTCGCTGAAGTCTTTTCAGCTAACAGAACTGTCATTTTTACTTTTAAACACGCCCCTGGAAAGAAATTACGAAGCGAGTCGCTACTAGCTTTTTTAAAAGCTAACCTTGTTATGATTTATCATAGAACTTTCCTCATAGTTTAAGGGAGATAACTCGTATCATCCTATTTTCAATCATGAAATGAAATCAGAGTTGTCACCCTTTATCGTTTCATTTAATGGAACAAAGTACATGAGTGCATTATTAGACAAAACATCTAAATCTACAACATTAAAGATTCTGGCACTCTTGAACTAAACGACGAATGAAATGTAATTTTGCATCATTATATTCATAATTGTTAAATGACTTTTGAAATTCCTGTGAAAATAATTTGTCATTTAATTTAGTTCAACTTGTGGTAGGAAAAGTTTTTTTATGAATAAATTTAACAAAGTTATTTGAAGTTCCTAAATAACCAACGCGTTGTTGAATCTTATCATTTTTGCAATGCAAATAAGCAGTTTGTGAACATGCACGACGGGACCCTGTCATACGAACTATCTTTGTACCATGCGTCGTTCTTGAGATAAAGTTATCATTTATTGTGTTCTATCTAATCTGAAAACACAACGACTATACAAGCAATTTATGGTGTACTTACTGGGCAAAAGACTTACTTCGGAAATAAGAATATTTTGGGGTTTTCCCAGCTAATACGCGGGTACTAACAAACTTTTACAAATAAATTAATCTATTGTGACCGGTAATGCTATGTTCTCACCGCCGATCAGATCAACTCGATCGTCCCGATCACATTAATTCCCCGATGAAGCCCGACCAAGCTGCATTAAATGCACATTCACGACTCCTACACGACCTGAAGTCAGTAAGTCTAGTTATGGTCGATGTTTAACGACTTCTTCTCGACGACAACCCGACCAACATCCCGACTTCTTCTCGATCACCCAGACCCATACACGATATCAACTAGACTAACTGGACCTCTGCTCGATCGTTGCCAGATTTCCACCCGACCAGATCGTAATGATCGTAATCGAGTCGTGAATAATGCTCGAGTAGAAGTCGAGATGATCGTGTACAGATCGGGTAAGAGATGTATACCCGACCAAACTTGATCGTTACACGATTTATTCTCGATCAACTAGATCTTCTACTGGATCACTATACGATCGCTTTTCAACCGCTTATCTACTCGATCGCTACTCGAACTTTTTTAGGATTTAAAAAAAATCGGGTAGGAAGCCCGAGCCATGCCGACCAAGGTAGACCGCTCCGACCACCCCCGATCACGCATGCAGACCGAGCTAGACCGGTACCCGATCGCTTGATCGTGCTTGATCGAGTTGATCTGATCGGCGGTAAGAACACAGCATTATAATGTACGGTAAAAGTTTGTTTGTACAGGGGATTCACCGTGCATATCCAGTAACGCATGAATGTGCAAGTAGCGTAAAAGTAACGCCGAATATGTGCAACGCTTTTGCCAAAACCAGTAACACAGTAAGTAAATGAACCAAAATATTTTATTCTAAATAAAATTTAAAGAAATGAATTAGCGCACACGGCTGCTACGACATTATACTTTAACCAGCATTACAATTATTTTCAGCAATATGTTTACTTTGTTAGATCATTCGTGAGAAAGGCAACCTGGTTACAGTTTTTACTTTATTCTGATGGGAGATATCAACGAAACTAAAATCGCAATCAATACGCTAGTCAGGTTGTCATTTTCAAGAATGATCTTGAAAAATAAACATTTTTATGGAAATATTTCTGATGAGGTTTTAGGTATAATGTCTTAGCAACCGTATACGCTAATTCATTTCTTCCAATTTGGGGTACAATCCATTTACTTATCGCGGTGCTCGTTTTAGCAACTATTTGGCACAATTCTTGTGTTATTTGCACAATACTGCGTTACTGGATATACACGGTGGGATAAGCTTGGGGAAAAATACACATTTGCCGGGTCCTGAATAACATCTATTCACATCCATTCAGTAACTCACACCGTACAGTCAAATGTGCAGACAACAGTTTAACCGTCGACAGCCGTACTGGTATCTACATACATGATTGTCGCTGTAAAAACACACACAATTGACGGACGAGTTTTAACATATCCCAACTGTGTTCGAGTAAATCAATGTCGACAAAATTTGTGCATTCAAAGTATACATTATTTAATGGCACCCTTTTCTGTCCTGTTAGCGGGCTATTATTTGTTGTATGTTAGCTGAGAGACCTTTTTTCCATTTACCGCACTGTCTTTCAATATAAAAAGGATTTATAAATAATTTCTCTGAAATGCTTAATTAATTCTTTTAAATTCAGTGAAGGGTAAGGCAAGATTTAACGTTAAATACTAATATTCAGTCTTATAAATAAAGGCATCCATTCAGTTTAATTATAATTAATAGCATATAATGTCCAATGCAGTGAATTACTCTGTTACCCGAGATATGAAAGTGTATGAATAAATAATTCGGAGCCATGTTTTCATTTCCGAAGAGTTGTTACATTTTATGGGGTATACAGACTATGATGGTAGAAGAGAGAACGGACATCAAACCACTATTTGATTTTTATACGCGGGAAATATGCAAATCAGATAACTGTGTTTCGATGTTTATTCTATCACTTAGAAAATCAAATAGACACTAATTAACAATTAAATAAGTATTACAATCAGATCGCGCTGCAAAATTGTATAGGTTTTAGTAAATCAAAGTGACTTTTTTTTTCTTTTTATTGATATTTCTAGATATATATTGTTAACCATTAAAAACTTATGTAAATTCAGTTACCAAGGCTTTTCTCGTGTAAGCACTGAGAGTGATCTGAAACATAGAATCTTTAAAACATTCATATGAAAATAATTATTTTTTTCCGTTTATACCGTGAAGAGCGGAAATGCATATTAAACAACGACATACACAGTCTTTGCATGCTTTTACGATGGATTTCGTAAGCGTGAGGTCCATAAGAAAGTACCATTAATTAATATATATTCTAAATGAACAAAGACGTTTTACTCTTTCCTAGATACTATAGCACAAAAAGCAGTTGAACGGTTTTCAGCGTTATTCAATCCTGCTGATGAGTGGATGTCGATGTAATCATTAAATAGAGGCGAACGGTTGATGACGTTACTCAGATTTTTAAGACATTCACACTCAAATACACCAAATACACCATGTATTTTTTAGAGTGAAAAGTATTTTTACTTTGTCCGTCTTTTGTATGATCATTTGAATATATTTTGTTCTTCTAAATTTCTATTTCTATTTTTTTTTTCATGTCGTGTATTTTTTTTTAATTTTAAAACATTTTAACAATCAAACCCACAACGATTTCGAAATATTAAAAATTGAATGTATAAATCAATATATAACTCACTTCATTTCATTTTTTTTTTTTTTTTTTACATTTCTGATAATGTTTTTTTCTGATGTTTGACGTTTTCCCCAAACTAAACACACTTGCATATCAAACTGTGTACAAAAACATTCTATCTCATGCATTTGTAACTATTTGAAACAAAACTGGTAAATTAAGAAAAAGATACATAAAACACTCAAATGCAATGGTACTTTACATGTTACGAGCCTTTTAAGGCATGAAACAACACTGACCAGGACTGTGTACTGCGCTATCAAGGCACATGAAAATATGATGTTTTACTTTAGGCTTCAGTCTGCCTTACCTATTCTTCGCTTTATGCGAACAAAGGCTCAAGTTATCGTCCTGGGACAGTACGCTGGCAAAAATGCCCCCAGGTTAATATTTGAAACAAAGTGTGAAATATATATCTCCAATATGTAACGCATATAAAACGTTTTTGAAACGTTCATGTTTTGCAAATTTAATATAATTCTGTTATATACATAAAATGAAAAGTAGAAAAAAACTTTGAAGTCAAAATTTTCCAAGAAGTTATATATGATCCATTTAAAATTTCATAGCAGACTTAAAAAGACGTTAACTGATAAACCGCTCGGTTTGCATAAATATTGTTGTATATAAACCAATTCAAGATATGTCTGTGAAAATTAGCCGCCTTATCAATAAGGTAATGGCATATTTTTTTAAGTCTGCCCTTCAATAAAAGGGCGGACAACTCTTTGTCCCTTTCTCGTAAGAGAAGGGGAATCCTATGATGCGTGTATGTGGTCGCACGGTCACTTTCCATAAAATATGTCCTCGATGCATGAATGTGGTCGCATGGTCGAACATTTCTAATATAAGGTGTTTTGGTATCGAACAGTCTCGAAAACTAATCTCCCTTTGAACCATTACTCCATTTGCAATTTATATCAGGGGAAGTCACTCTAATCTACTCGATTTAGAGCGCAACATAAAGCTTCCCTTGAACTCTTGCTCAATTTGCAATGTTATAAGGGGATTTCACTCTAACCGACTCTATTTTTAGCGATACAGTAAGATGTCTTGAACCCTTACGCCATTTGCAAAGCTATAAGGAAAGATCACTCTAACCGAGTCGATTCTGAGCGTAACAGTAACCTCCTTTTGAACCCATACCCCATTTGCAATGTATCAGGGGAGGTCACTCTAACCGGTTCTATTTTGAGCGACACAGTAACCCACTTTCAACCAGTACGCCATTTGCAATGTATCAGGGGAGGTCTCTCCTACCGACTACTCGATTCTGAGCGCAGCATAATAATATCTGTCATATGTTGCGGTTCGGACCGGAATATCCCCGAGGTGACCGCCATGGCGAACAAGGCTTGCGATTACCGCCCATGGGCGGTTACGAGCGTATGAACGAATTACCTTTTGATACTCCGATGCAATCATTATTAGAAGTCATTTTTGAGCGCAACACTAACCTTTTTTGAACCCTTACGTCGTTTGCAGTGTTATTAGGGGAAGTCACTCTAACCGACTCTATTTTAAGCGCAACAGTTATGTCCCTTTGAACCCTTACACCATTTGCAATTTTATCAGGGGAAGTCGTTCTAACTCACTCGGACTTGAGCGCAAAATTAACCTCCCTTTTAAACCCATACACCATTTGCAATGTTATCAGGAGAGGTGACATTACCCATTAGTAATGTTTTCAGGGGAGGTAACTCTAACCGACTCGATAATGAGCGCAACAGAAACCTCCCTTTGAAACCTACGCCATTTGCAATGTTATCAGGAAAGATCATACCGACTTTCTTTTTTTTGAGCTACAAGTACTTAATAAATTCATTCTTCATTATGTACTTAAAAAGGCCCCAAAAGGTCTGTAAGCTTATATATTCCTGCAGACAAGAGGTTATAGTAGATTTATCTTGAGGATATTAATCAATTACCATATTTTGTCCAGTATAAAATTTGGACGTGGGGTAGGTGACACCAGTCTTCAAACTCCTTACAGTGATTACCTCCCTTGGCATATTTACTGATCAGGGGAAATCGCTGCTATTGTAGGGACTTTTAATACAGAATATACATGTAGCTCTGTCATTCACTATTTTATTATTTGGTTAAAACTTACTTTATTCAACAATGCTTACAATTTACATAGTTAATGAAACAACATTACCATAAGTTTAATAATTTTACTTGAAGCTATCATCTTACAACATCAGCGTCGATGAGTGGTGGTAAATACAGTTTAGAATACTTAACTCTAGATACTAAAATATTGTTTTGTCAAAATATGGACCGAATGATCGGAATCAATCCATTAATAATAAGGTAATTGTGACCTGGATGTCGATGTTATCATTATATAGAGTCGAACACATTACGTTGGTTTTGTCGTGACGCGGCTCATATGATCTTTGTAAGAATTTGAACTTTAAAGATTTTTTTTCTGCATGTTGTCCATAGTGGAGCAATAGAAAATAAGAACGTACTTGAAAATGCATTCGAACAAATATTGACAAATGTTTTATTAATACATCTTTGAGGAAGGCGGAAGTAAATGATGTGAGTGTTCTGTTAGAACTAGCTGGATTGGCAATGGATACAGCACGATTCTGATTCCAGTAACGCCGGAATGTGAAAATAACGCACGATTCGTGCAACAAGTAACGCATAATTGTGCAATAAAATGCGGATACTGGACAGGATTTCCAACGCGGTAAGTAAACTTGCCATTATAGTTTTTATTTAACCGGACTGAAAAAAAGAAAAGCCGCATACGGCTACGAAGATATTACTCTCAAGATAATTTCTATTGTGGTACATAGATGATCAACTTGTTCGCGTAAAAATATCGGTTAATGATACTTTAAACAGAGGACTTTTATGTGCGCTTTTTGGATCATTGAATTATTGAATACGTTAGTCCTGCCTATTTTCTGATATCAATTACAAATATCAAATTACCTTTAACGTAATAACCACTTTAAGTCATGCCAAAATTATTGTTTTCCGGGTTACTTAACTTGAAATCACGTTCGTAAAAGCCTATAAAAGTATTAGAATAGGAAAAGACTATTAACCATATAATCCGCATTCACGAGTTCAGTGCTTTAATAATTACATGCGCGAAATGATACTTCCGTTTCTATGGAAATATCGTATCGTAAATTTTTTTTATTTTATTATTTGAAAATCGTAGTAAATTTAAAATTGAAAACAGGTCTATCTATAGAAATGTTGGTCCAGACGGCACTCCATACTTTTTTTCTGATTGCGATAACGGCTAATCAAATGTCATATTTGGAATGTTCTGATAGCAACCGGATAGTAGGAGTTAGTTGTCAGAAATGGATTTGCTGCGAACAGTTCTGCTGTGTTTTGGATTTATTACATTTGCAGGTAACCCATTTAATTCTGGCAATGTTATATCAAACGCGAGTCTGTTATATGAATAGTAACAGGCGATATTTATTTTTAGTGGGTCTTTGTTTCATTCAGTAACACATCAGAAACAATTTCTATTAATTAAAGTGTCAAAGAATTGTTATCAAACGAAAGAGAATTGTTCATAACTAGTCATAACAAAGTGGTGTTTAGAAAACGAGAGGGAATTGTTCATAACTAGTCATAACAGAGTGGTGTTAGAAAACGAGAGGGGAGAGGGATTTGTTCATAACTAGTCATAACAGAGTGGTGTTAGAAAACGAGAGGGATTTGTTCATAATTAGTCATAACAGAGTGGTGTTAGAAAACGAGAGGGAATTGTTCATAACTAGTCATAACAGAGTGGTGTTTAGAAAACGAGAGGGATTTGTTCATAACTAGTCATAACAAAGTGGTGTTTAGAAAACGAGAGGGAATTGTTCATAACTAGTCATAACAGAGTGGTGTTAGAAAACGAGAGGGATTTGTTCATAACAGTGTGGGGTAACGAAACGAAAGGAAATTGTTCGAAACGCTGTGGTATTCATAAAACGAAAGGTAACCACAATAATAGCGTGGTGTACGGAAACGAAAGGGAATTGTTAATAACAAGTCATAACAGAGTGATGTTTAGAAATGAGAGCGAATTGTTCATAACAGTGTGGTGTAACGAAACGAAAGGAATTTGTTCGAAACGTTGTGGTATAACCATCATAATTGCGTGGCGTACGGAAACGAAAGGGAATTGTTCATAACTAGTCATAACAGTGTGGTGTTTAGAAAACGAGAGGGAACTGTCTATAATAGCGTGGTGTGCCGAAAAGAAAAGGAATTGTACGAAACGGCGTGGTGTTCAAAAAACGAGAGGGAATTCTTTATAACTGAGTGGTGCACTGAAACTAAAAAGCATTCTTCATTACAGTGTGGTGCATAGAAAACGAGAGGGAACTGTTCATAACAGTGTGTTTTTCTGGAACGAGAAGGAAATGTTTAGTAACAGTGTGATCTTCCGAAATGAGAGAGAATTGTTCATAAGAGTGTGGTGTTCCGAAACGAGAGAGAATTGTTCATAATAGTGTGGTGTTCCGAAACGAGAGTGTATTGTTCAAACAATGGAAAAATAAAGTTAATTTATATCAAATGCAGACAAAAAAGCAACGGAATAAAAAACACTATTAGATAAGAAATAATAAAATATGGAAAGGTGGATATCAGTGTTTGAACTTATGTCAACCACGATTAGAACATCTCCCCATGAACCAGACGTTATCTTGGATTTAAAATATTATATTGTAGCCTTTTAACAGGTTTCAATTCTAAGATTAAGCGACTGAGAACAAATATTTTTTTGTCTTCAAAAAACAGTATTAAGAGACACATAAAAGTGTGTCTCTTACGGAAGCGTCCAGATGCAAAATATTGATGTTTTATTTTAAAAAAATAATTTCCGGGACTAGAACTAATAATCCAAAAAATAATTCGCAAACTTATTGTTCTTTTCATCTAAGCTATTTAGGCGTGGTCATGGACAACTGTAATATATATTGCTAATCGCATCTTCTCGGTCCTTACCTATAAGGACATTATTTTTAATAATAACCGAGGTATACCGGTTGATATATGGCACGTGCAGTAAGATAGAGCTTAGCGTTCGATACCAAACTGGATAATAAAGCTTGGATGTATCAAATTATTTAAATTGTCAAGTGCTCTTAAATCATACCCTATGTACACACCCTTTGTTGGTTACTCTGATAAAATGTAATGAACATCATTTTAAGGCCAAGGTACTCTAAATATTTGCTTCAATTAACATTTCATGGCAATTTTATTAAAGCAGCATGCCTCCAGATTCATGCTTATATTCATGAAAAGTTTGACAATGTATTTAAAAGTTAGATAAGTTTTGAACTGAACAAAGAGAGTATTTTTACACATTGCAAATGGCACTTACAGATCAAGTAAATTACCCCAAAAAGGCCAAAACATGCAAAATAGCCCTTACTGCGTTAGTCACACAGTAGATCTAGATATAAGTGATAAAAACTGCACAATCAGTCATCACTCGCTCATAACATGTAAATAATTTCTTGAATCTCGGATCTTAAAATCTTAGAACATTTTAACCCCATATTTTTTTATATTTTATTGAAACAGTTTGACTCATCTGGAGGCATGCATCTTTAAAAATTAAATGGCAATTAAGTATCGTCTTTTTTAACAAAGACCACACTTTTTTATAGATCGAATTATATATATTATATACAAAAATAAAAACATATTTGTTAAAAAATTGTTTCAAAATAAAATCGAAATGCGAAAACTTTCTGATATCGACAATTGAAAAAGGGGGTAGGTTGGGAGTCCCGAAACGGAACTGACTTTTTTCATTATTTCTTATTAATCCTGATTAAGGGTCCTTTATTTGAAACCTTGTTTAGAAACTAGCGATTGAATTCGTTCAGCCTTAACTTGCAACAGAGATAGGTGGGTGTACATGAGTACCATAAAATATGATGACATTTATTCTAAACTTTATTGTTTTTGATTTTCAAGAGTTAATTCATAAGTAGAAGAAAAACTAAGTAAAAATGAGGGCTTTTACTTTAGTTTATATCATTTCCGGATATTTTGCTTATTTCACATGTAAGTTTGTTGTAAAATAAAATTGAAACATAAATTGAAATTGTATAATGGATGTTAAGTGTTAACAAGATCATTTATTTATTTAAATAATATATAAATTACAAGTTGCTTCGAATATTGGTAACCTTAACCACTTTTAAGTTATTAATGTGTCGTTTTCCAGATAAGACCATGCATATTATCTTATCAAGACTTTCTAAAAAGTGCGATTCGTTTAGATTAAACAGAAAAATACCAGATCAAGATAAATTAACAATGACCCGTTTTATTATATAACGTTCTGTGCTAGGCTACGTCACTATGCTTTGAATATATATGAAATTTCTAATAGTGGGTATTCGAAAGAAAAGGAAAAATATCATTGCATTATTCAGTCATGACGAATTTTCTATTACAGCCGCACAAAATGATGCCAATGAAACCGAGGGGCTCCGATGTTACGCATGCGCATCAACAGGTGGGAACAACAAATGCGAAGATTTTAATACGTATAAAATAGCAATGGACGGTAAAGGCAACGAAAAAGTGAAGAAAACGTGCACACCTCCATACAATAAAACATGCATAATGGAAACTTACGAAATACTTGGTAAGTTTAATTGTCGCCTGCCCTGAGCCAATCAGAGAGGAGAATTTAATACCTCATGACAACAAATGGACGACAAAATATATGAAAAGTTGGCGCCTGCGAGACACGCCGCCCAACATCATTTGTCGGGTTACTTGAATATACATTTGAAATACTATCTTCATGTACGAATCTCGAAACCTGTGCATGGTATTCCAAGGGGTACACAATATTCGGAATATTTCTCTTGAATATATACTATGCCCATTCTTGAGTAAAGCACTTTTTCATAGTAATTTATTGAAATCTATGAAATTCTTACTGAATATGTCTAATTTGAATAATAGAGTAAAAAAACTATTTATGGGAAGCCGTGTTAGCTATTACAGGTCAAGAAAAGTTGGTCTGTCAGTTTTTTTATTGACACAATATATTCATATTGTGACCACCTATGATGGGTAGAATTTTAAACATAACATATCTACTTTGTGTGAAGTTAAAACATGTTCGTTTTATATTTACAAAGAGACTGTGTAGCAATTATCCATATTTTCTAATATAAAATATAAGCATAGTATATCTTTAAAAGAAACATAAGCTGTATTGTTCAGGGAAGAGTTTATTACACAAAATAGATTTTCGAATACCCCCGGCTGAACGGCGATTCCTAGCATTTTGGTAATACGAATACTTTAATGTAGCTATTCTTAAGCTCACAAGAAAACTACAACTGCATATTCTCCAATGATATTTTGAGGGTTCAGATTCTATCTATCTCTTTATAAAGGCGATCCCTCGCGGGGACGTAGACATTCGGATTTCAAATTCAATCTTTTGTGCCCAGTATGGGCCACTGTAACGATTGATTTCACGATTAAAATGTATCGGAAGACGGATGCATACAATTTTAATCTGTTTGATAATAAAACACACGTTTTTGGGATATTTTATACAACATAAAAATTGACTATCTTTACATGTTCAAATAATCATCACCTATTTTCGAGATAACATAGCTTCTAACAAAGGGAAATAACTTTGATAGCTCTGTAGGGTGTCGCTGAAGGTGTAACAATATGTTTTATAACGCAGCTTTCTTGATAAGCTCCCATGGATGTAGCCAGAAGTAACAAAACAAAATTGAGTCAGACTAATATACGAAATGAATGGAAAAAAATCGGCGAAAAAATGATATTTTTCTATCTTGTGACCATGATTTCCTGCAAGCGTCTAGTGGTACTGCTCCAACACTGTAATGCGTTAAACCCCAGTCACACTAGAGCTTACGATTACTTGCGACTACCGGCGACGTGTAAAACCGACGATCATCGGCGATTGTTTGCGACCAAGCCCTCTTTGATCAAGTAAATGTACTTCTGCGATCATAGTACGACCAATCATCATTGACAATCGCACGACAGGTCATCAGCAAACGTACGATGGTCTTAAGATTGCCTGGGATTACTTACGACTACCCGTGACCTGTCATGCGATCACCTACAACTTGTCGTACGACCATCACACGATTACTAAAGACTACTCAGGATTATCAGTGACTAGTGGCAATTTGTAAAGACTGTCGTAAGATTGTCGCACTTTCGAGCGACGATCGTGCGACAGACTAAGACCTTATAAGATCACTAGCAACCTGTTTGATCGCAGGGAGGTTTTTGTGCAAGCTCAAAAACCTCTCTACGACTGAATTTGGTCGTAGGACGTAAATAAGATAACCTGCGACTATCGAAGATCACCGATGACCGTCGTAAAACGTTTTAAAGATTATCCGCGACCAGTGGTCAATGGTGATCGTGAACTGGTCTTTACTTGTCGTAAACTCTAATGTGACTGGGGATTAATAAATACAAAAAGTCATGTTAAAGCGCTGCTTTCTTGATATAGATAGAAGTAGTTACGGAAAGCAACGAAGTTGTCCGAGTTCTCAAAGTTGTTTACTTCAATGAGCTTTTTGAAATAAAATAACAATCATGACAGTCATACATTGTAGATAGGAAATTATCAGTCCGACATGTCACATATCATATGGTTAAAATCTAATTTTTTCAAGTATTATCAGTAGATATCAGATAAGTCGCATGTTTACTCAGTGATTTATTGAAACAGATTGCATGGTATGCGCCTTTCGGCATATCGATTTAGATATGTTGAAAGTTGTTACCAATCCTTTCCCTTCCTTTAAAATTGTCACAAAAATGGTCTTTAAAAAAACCTTGTTTCCTGCAGTGCAGACCTTGTTCAAAACCTTAGATATGTCAAAACGATACCGATAGAGGTTTTATTTATTTATTAATTATTATTTTTCAAACAAAATTAACAAACGTGCATGTTTTCCATATCCATAATTTTTGTACATTTCTGAATGAAATATGGTGCATTTTTGGCTATATGGGTGGAAATTTCTCTTTTTTACTGGTATTGCTAAGCGTAGAACAGTAGTCCACTAGGACCAAACTCACTAGGACAATACCCCCAATGGACAAATCCCACACTAACAATAGACCGCTAGGTCAATCTCTTACTGGAGAAAAACCCACTAGGACTAGTGGGCTATTGTCCGTTCCCTAAAATTGCTGTACACAGTGGAAATTTATAGCAAATATTTACTTTTGCTGAAAAAAGTGTTGTTTTTTTTGTTCTGTATATAAACATGTATACTGTTTCGACATGGAAAAGAAACATTTTTAAGGACGCTTCATTGATTGAGATTTCCATAATTAAATAGTACAATTAACTAGCCACTAGCCAAATAGGCCTGGCTAAGCTAAGTTTCGTATTAAAAGATTAATAAGTTTAAATACATGTATAATTCACACTCGAAAACATAGACGATAAGTACTGAAATACATGTAGATTCTCGTTACATTATATTACACGTGGCATATTTTCAGGGAACACCGTGTCACATATCAGAGGTTGCAGTGACAATGAACACTTTTCTTTCTCTTCAAGTCTTCAATCAAACAGAAGCGCATACAAGCGTTTGGAGGATCTCCAACCGAACAACGAGACCGCGTGCGTCTGGGACGGTCAACATCTCGTCTGCTTAACCAAATGTAATACAAACTTTTGTAACGGCCCTCATCTTAAGGAAGTTATAAATGGGGCCACTGTGATCAAACTGTCTTCAATTTTAATGTTTGTTATAGTTCTAGCAAATAAAATGATAGAACGGCAGTGATAGAAGAAGAAAAAAAGAACCATGATCAAAACGCTATACAACAAGTTAATTTAATTCTATTTATTCTTAAAATAAACCATGTTAGACATTATTTATGCATATAAAGAAATGTGATAAATCTATAATTCTAAAAAAGTTAGGGATCATTCGGAAAAGCAAAGAAAACAATATAAGCAATGACAACAAATTAAAAAAAAAGATATAACCGATGTGCAAGGTACATTTATATTGAAACAGAATTGCTAAAGTGTTAAGAATTCATTTACAAAATACATGCAAGATGTCACTAAACGGTGCATAAAATCATTTACGTTTGCTGTTAATAATACACCGCTCTTAACATGTTTTGCGATTAATCATAATAAATTTTTAAAGATAGTGTGTCGGAATATATAAAGATATTATTTTATAATCACGTGTTACATGTCCTACATTTTCAGTTGTATATTTGGATAAAGATTAAATCACTGTAAAAATACATGTAATATAATTGTTTCCCCTTTGTATATAACAACTTAATACAAAGAAATGGTCGATTATTGGTCTGTTATTCAAAATTGAAAACGTTTTCTGTTAACTTAAGTCATTACATTGTATTGTTTTTGTTTGTTATTTCGCATGCATAATGCAACGAAAATAGATTTTCAATACAATCTTCACCCGCTATGAAATTCTTTCAAAATGAATCATTTGTTTTAAACTAATCTTTACAGTTCTATATATACATGTATCACTATTTTTGTACCTGATTCTTGTGACATTTTTGTATTTAATGTATTTAATAGTATGTTTGTTATTAAATGAAATACTTTTATGTAAATCTTTTATTCATTTATTGTGATCATTGTTAGTCATGTTATTAGCTTGTTAGCCATTACTTTATATATCTTGATTTATAAATAATTCGTCTTCTTAGGAACTCCACCTAGATTCAAAAGCCGAAAAACTTAAAATTGAATTTTTACTCATTTCAGCTGGGGCACGTAAAGCAGGAAGACATGCAAAAAATAATTCAGAAATATACTCAGAAATGAATTGAAAAGCATACTTTTGTGCTATTTTTGATATGATTTGAGTGAAAAGTGTTTAAACGCTTTTCAATTTTAGGTCATTTTTCACAATATGAATAATAATCCTGGATAAATCGCAATAGCAAATGATCTAAAATTTTGCACACAAGTTACTGATCTAGACCTACATCAATTAAAATCGAAAAATTATTTCCAGGTTCGTCATGTCAAAAAACCTCAATGGAGTCCCTTTAAAGCTCACCTGAGCCTTACCTCAAGTGTACTATTAACATAGGTCTTTTGCTTTGACGTCCGTCCTCCACCGTCAACAGTTAACTTTTCGGAGGTCATAATTTTGATCGGATTTTCATTAAACTGAGTCAGAATGATTGTATAAGTGGTTTCTCGGATGGAGTAATCTAAGGTCCAGAACTTCGTCGACAGATAAAACCAAAGAAAACTTTTGTTAACACTCTACACGTAACAGTCATCTTGAATCATGATGACTTGTTGGCGTTAAGCATTGCCTCCTGGACATAAAGCCCCCCTCCTGACGATCACTAGTTGGCATAGACTTGTATTGTAAACGTGCCTTTTAAGACCCCTTCTCCAAAACTATAATGATAAAGGCTTAGTTATTTGGTATGTAACATCACCTTGTGATTGTCCTCTAAAACGGTGTCTCGGTATTGAACTTTTCACTAAAACTTACCCGTCCTTGGGGATCTCTTACTTTTCATAGACGTCTATTGGAAAACACAATAAAATCTTCTTTAGAAATGCCCAGCGCTTATACATTATAATTGACATGTAGCATTCCCTAGCGGATCTTTGTAACATTTTTATATAAATCATGACCCGCTGGTTAAAAAATGGCCCACGTATATAACATACGTTAAATACAAAGCATAATAGATCATTCAGAAAAAACTTCAATAAGGTTTCTAGATTTGTCAAGGTATTTGTGTAGAATAGAATTTCTTAATTTATGTACTTAAACAATTTGGTTTTAAATCGAATTTTATAATCTGGGTCGAAATATTTTATAATGATATTAAATCATGTATCTTCAACAATGGACATAAATCAGAGATATTTAATTTAAACCGAGGGATCAAACAAGGATGTCCATTATCTGCTCTATTATTAGTCTTAGCTGCTGAAATAATTGCTAATCCGGAACTCGAATAATATATAAGAAATTAATTGTAATAAACCAATTAAAAAAACACAACTTCCTGATGACACTACATTTTTTTTTGAAATCTGAAGCAATAAATCTGGTAGAGCACTTCGGGAAATACACGGGGTTACAAATCAATATCAAGCGAACTGAAGTTATGTGGATTGGATGTAGTAAATCACGAACTGATAAAGTAGGAAATATAACATGGCCAAATAAAACAATTTTAGCACTATGAGTCTATTTTGTCATACATTTATCTTAAATGGTAATCTTAAATAACTGAATGTCACGGTCTAATAAAAAAAATGGTTGAAAGTTAAATTAACGATTTATGGAAAAGTTCAAGTTAGAAAATCTTTATTGATACCTACATTTACTTATCTGTTTCATTCTTTAGTTGTGCCAAATGAGATCATGAAACAAGATGATGCTATTCAATTTTTTATTGGGCAATAAACAGGAAAAAGTAAAACGTGCAACTTTAGTAGGCAATAAATTACAAAGAGGAATAGGCATGTTAGAATCATATATAACTTCTTTAAAACTTTAGTAAAAACAAAGTAAAAGCTTTAACTGATGCGTCAGAAGCAAACTGGAAAATTACTCCAAAATGCCTTCCATATTTTAATACTTTATTGTAACACAGACACCTTAAAAAGTCTCAGATGTGACTGAATTATATCAATAGCTTATACACATATGGATAAACACACGCAATTGACAAAAAGAAGAACAAAATTTGATATTTTAGTAAATAAGAAAACACATAAGTTTGGGCAATAGATTCATTAAAATAAATAACAAATGTTTGTTTTTTTAAAACATGGAATAAATCGAATATATTTTTTTAAATGGTTTTCTTAAAAATCAGGGTGTAATATATCAAAATGTTATTTTAAATAAGCTAGTAGATAAACGCAAAATTTCCACGAAAATAATAAAAGTAATATCCCTGCGGTCAACTATAGACCCCGGGTCACTTAGTTCATATGGACTTAAAATATAAGAGTAGGAGATATAAATTAATTTTGTCCATAGCTTAGATATGTGGCAGATATAATTGCCTAGTGAACATCTATAAAATTTACAAACTAAAACGTTCCCCTGGGTTAAAGTTGGTCCTACCCTGGGGTTACTTAATGTATTTTAGACTTGTGTAGTAAGCATGTCTTAAACTTATTGAACGCCGCCTTTCCTTGTTGATCTTGTTTATCATATGTTAGATATTTGAAAATTAGTGTCACCCTGTCTCCATAACTTATATAAAATATGTCTCAGGGGTTAAAATTAGTCATCCCCGGGGTCACTTAGTTTTTATAAACTCATGTAGTAAAACACAAATTAAGCTTTGTTTGTGATGATCTTAGATATTTGGGATACAGATATTCCAAGCAGACATCTACAAATATTTTATAGGTTATGCAATTTGGCTCAAAATGACAAACCCAATGTGACCTTTATTTACATGGTTTTTTTCCTGCATAGAAAATGGTGATCTTTCCTAGTATTGTATCTCGGATGAGTGATCTACGGCCATCATGGTCATGTGGTTTCTTCTTTTCTTGTTCTTGTCTTCTTCTTTCTACATGCCTTTGCATTCTGACCGACTGCAAAGCTTTAGCTTATCTCTTGTTCACGACTTGATTTCTGTGCGACCAGTGTATGTCTATATATAGCAGCGGTCATTTTAACAAGATCATTTATATGCCTTTAAGATTTTACTTTGGGCATTTGTAGCCGAGTGTTTACAGTTGTTAAATTGTTTTGAAACCACTAGGCCCTTATGTATGAATCCTGCCCGGGACTTTGGATTATTTCAAGTGCGGAAGCAATCCGACTAGCTTACGGAATGCAAAGGCCCTCAAGGGAAACAGCGCGTGAACAGGATCCTGAGGTCTTCCAATACCATCAAAGATACAAGTATGATCTTGACAATGCCAATGTTAATTTAAACATTACCAGTCTTTAAACCTTTGATAGTAAAAGAATATTTATTATAACTATGAAAATATAATCGTTGAATTCATTTGTGTTGTTTCCTTTATTAACTGACACATTCATTAAGAGTTAACTTTAGTACGTTCACAGATCTTTTTGTCATACAAAATATTAGACTTATTTATGAGCTATGATTGCACATATCTTTATTATATACATGTTTACACCTAAATTTCGTTAGATTATAATGCATTTTCTAAAGAGAACAAGTTTAAGTAAATATTCGCTTTGATTTAATTTTGAATCGATATTAATACCAGTTTATAATAATGCTATTTACAATGTAGGCAAATTTAATTAAATGTTCTGAACTATTGAAGTAAATTAATAGATGGTAAAAAAAGACAAATATGTTCAGCACTTTATTTTATTTCAAAGAAATTGTACTCTGGCTTAATCGAAATGTTCCCTTGTTGAAATGAGTAATAGCAATTGACTTGGGAGGGTCTGCAAAGCTGTCATTATCTCGGTTCTAACTAAGTTTCCTTGAGAGTCTGAAACTGTGCAAGGAAAACAATCACATATTAGTGAAATGTTCTCGTAAGGGTCCCCAGATGTCAACATTATTCTTATCTCAATTGGAACCAAAATAATTGGAAGTCTCCGAGCGTAAAAACAAATAGCTGCAGATCGGTGCAATGGGCTTCGGACTGCTTCTAGATGTTAAAACCAATGTCAAAGAACGATGTAATAGATTAAACGAAGAATAGTGTTATCATCTAGTGACCCTTATCAGTCCATTTCACAGGTATGTGACTGTTTTATTTACACAGTTGCAGACTTTTCAGGAATCTTGGTTCCAATGATTGAAGAACGACGCAATAGGTTTTCGGAAGCTCCTAGATGTCAAATCTTGTTTAAACCCAAACTGCACTAGAACTCCGGAACGTTTGTTGCACGTAATTATGCATAAACGTTTCAAAAGTAAGACAAAGTATCATAATTGCCATGTTAAATTCTCCAACGCTTTATTTTATAGAAAAGTTTCATATCTTTACACGTATTTTAAAATGTTATAACTCTAGATCGTTTACATTTACAACTTATGCCCGTCTGTCTCGATTTATGTTAAAAAAATTGACGAACACTCACAATCCTTTATCTTATCGCATTCAAAAGGTTATACCCCAAATTACCCGCAGTTGTTCTATAGCAACCGTAACCATCGGTACAAAGTTTTAAACCAGCATTCCGATTATTCTTCTCGTTCCATGGGATCTTTCCTTACAACCTATGGAACTTGGCAAGTAATAAGAATTTTGTCAGACAAAAGCTCCGCCCGCCCGATTAGTTCAAAAGTGAGAGCATCGGATAAGTAATGCAGGGGTCTTTGCTTTAATCCTTGGGCGACAGACATTGAGTCTAATGGTCAATTGTCTCTCAACGCTAATTCAAAAGCAGACGTGAGATTAGTATACGGTCAGAGGCTAAGAAATAGATCATTACTGGTTCATTTGTAGTTATCCAGGAAGCTGGTTGGATGGATCGACCGTTGAGACATTACATGAGTTAATCTTGGTGTAAAAAAAAAACAGAAACAAACAAACAAATAGAAACGTCCGTTTGAGTATGCCATATTTGAAAGTACACTCATTATCATATCTCTATAGAGCAGCTGCCGAATGACTCCTCCTTTAAGATTTACATAATTATATAGGATTCCTTTTTATTACATCAAACCCCACAATTTTATTGCCAAAAGCTGTTCATCGCTGCGTTCTTGTAGGTGTTTTTCATATTCCTGAAAACCTTTTCTTTAGTTTCTTATTCATGATGCCGGATTGTTTCTCCTTAAGACCGATGCTTAATGCGACTGCTACTTTAAAAAAAGCTTCATCTACAATTCAACTCCAATGATTGATCTCAAAAGGCTCCTCTTCGGGTTATCGTATTCACCCTCTCTGGACACGTCCTCTATGTGCCTAAAATATCCTCTTTTACGTCTGACATCGCGTCTCCGTCCAAGTCTTTGTCTAAGTGCACTGTTTTTTGTGTGTGTCGTATCTAAAATTTTCAAAATTTCAAACTGAAACATCTTCCTCAATGTTTTAAAAGGAATGAGGAGTGAGGGAAGCGCTCATTTAGGCAATTTTATTCTTGTTGCTTTCAGTTTTCTTCCAGTAGATGGTAGATTTCTGTTAAAATTTGATAACACGCTATACAACAAGCGCATTATAAAAATCATTTCATATTCCTGATTAAGCAGCCTATATCTTAGATCAGATTCAGAAAACTTTTTTCGATTGGGTTATACGTCGCACAAACACAGAAGAGGACATATGGCGACTTTCTAGCTTTAATGATAGAGGAAGATCCGAGGTGTGTTTTCATGCATAATTTCAGACACGAGCGGAATAAAGTCACCGTCGTTCCGTAAGTTAGCTGGATAGAGCCCCCAAACCCAAACCTAGACCTCCATGTTCAGAAACCAGTGCATTTTACCATTCAGCCTTGACATGTAATAAGGAAAGACGGGTGTTCGAGAGTGCCATAAATTGAGACGACATTTTATATTTATTGGTTTGCATTTTCAAGTGCGCATTTACAAGTAAACGAAACGTTCGATGAAAATGAGGGTGTTTGTAATAGTTTATATCATATATGGATATTTTGCCTATTTTACATGTGAGTTTTTCATGTTTAGATTTATCAGAAGTTTCATATATTTGTTAAAATACACAACAAATCACGGAAATATCGTCGTGAGGAATGGTAAAGTAAATGTTATTTAAAGACATTCTTTGCTCACCCTTGAATAAATATTTTAGTCAAAGAAATTTATTAAAATCTATGAAATTCTTACTGAATATGTCTAACTTTAATAAAGAATGAATAATGTATGTATGGGAAGCTGCGTTCCCCAATACAGGTCAAGTAAAATTGGGTTTTTTTTTCTTTAAAAAAACTGTCAGTTTTTTAACGCCACTATATACTTATATTATGACCACCTTTAGTGTGTAGAATTTGAGCATAACATATCTACTTTGTGTTAAGTAAAAACATGCTTATTTTATATTTACAAAGAGACTGTGTAGCAATTATCAATATTTTCTTATATCACGTTTGAGCAGAGTATATCTTTAACGACTTTTTTGAAAAAATAAAAACAAATTAAACATTGGAATTGTATTTCTGAAAATGGTACGAGTTTTTGTTCATTACATTCATTCAAAACAAGCCCCAAAAAAGTTGTTTCTGGATATGATAAAGCTATTAATTGAGGAACAATTTTAGCTACGCAGCCAGTTAATTATTGAAGTGTCTACTCATGTCTGAAATAACGTCTGGAGTCTTCCTAGAAATAAGGCACAATACAAGTGCCGATGTGACTTTAAACCCAACAAAAAATAATAGATAGATAGGGATAAAAACAATCCAAAACAAAACAAAAATATATAAAAATAATACTTAAAATGGTGTCAACCAGTGTTTGTACGCGCGTTCGATTGATCACGTCATGGAACTTAAAATTCAGACCGCGTATAGTACCGTTTAGTTATAAAAAGACTTTTTTTCTCTTATTCGCTTCCCTTTAACGAAAATAAATCATTTTTCAATTAATAAGATTTATAAAACCTTTAAAGCATGTGACAGAATGAACAACAACAATGAAAAAGGATGAAGGCAACCGCATTGTTTCAATATCATTTAAACGGAATCATTTAATACGCATCAATACAAAATAACTCTATATGTCTTCCGAAGCTGAATCTCTAAACTAATAATTTTGAAAGCTCACAGTCTGTAAAATAAACCATTATCTTGATTAATAACATGTCGATATCTATAAAGTTTTAAAAAAGCTTTTCCTAATTCACTGACTACAGTTATACTCTAATATTTGGCTTATCTTTATGTAAGTAAATAAAATAATGGCTATTTTAAGTCAGAAAAAATTGTCTAAAGCCTCTAACACATCAGCCGCACGTAATTTGGCTTGTAGATTTGTAGAGAAACCTGTGCCGTAGAAAAATCGCAGGAAATTTTGCAGTCTATCTAGACAGATTTGTATATCTGTCGTGTGACATCATTTGATGTCGGTCCGCGGTAGCCACAATATGCTTTTGCGAAAAACCTGTGGTCCTCGCAAGACAAAGTACGCAAACATTTTACTAGAGAACCTCTAGAAATCGTGACTCCGCCGTACGATTGTCTTACGACAGTCTTGAGACGCCCAAAATAGGTAAAAAAATCGCAAAAATAATGTGCATGTTGAGAAATCAGTCTGCGACGTTGCGGCAACATTGCGACCTTAAAGAATTCGTACGAATGTCTAGCGGATCCCGCACGAAACACAGCGATCTTTGTCAAAATTCGTTCGTACGCCTACCGTAGGGCTGATGTGAAAGAGGCTTCAGACTAACAACGGTTAAAGGGGTGGGTGGGTGATCAATTCGACCTGTACAATACAAGGCAAAGTCCTCGACACCTGTCAATTACATATGCACTTCAAGTTCAGTGAGCACGAAATAATCGTGCTAAACTATGACACAACTAATTAAACCGTACATCTATAACTCTTAAACTGCAAAAAATGCATTTGATCTTGAAGTGTACAATGTATTTTACTTGAACGGATTTGGCTTGGCCGTTATTACACCAGGCACGTAGGTAGAGATGAATGTCATTTATTTTTACACCATATAAACGATTTTCTGAACATTACAGTCGCACAAAATGGGACAAATGAGACAGAGGGGCTCCGATGTTACTATTGCGCATCAACGGGTGGGAACAACAAATGCGAAGACTTTGATACGTACAAAAAAGCGATGGAAGGTAAAGGCAACGAAAGAGTGAAGAAAACGTGCACACCTCCATACAATAAAACATGCATAATGGAAACTTATGAAATACTTGGTAAGTTGAATATATGCCCCTATTCTAAGGTTCTTTAGCAAAATGTTTCAATCACTTCATTTTCTAAAATGTTTACAAAGTTGACATAAATATGTTTTATTTTGATATATTTCTATAACAGTTGATACAATGAAAGGTCTGTAAATTAAGTATATTATTATTTAACATAAAGCTGGACGCTTTTTGCTTCCACGTAACAAATACATATACCATTCGTGAGAAGTCGGTATATTTCGTCGCTTTCTGAGATTGAAATGTAAACGTGAGCGTCTGTTTGACCAGGAGCAACGAAACCTGTTAAAACGCAGCTGTCTTGATAGTCTCCAACAAAATGTGTTTTAACGCCGCTATCCCGATATAGTATGACAAGGTACAATGATACGTGTTTTAACGCCGCCATTTGATAAGCTCCTGTATTGTACAATGATACGTGTTTAAACGCCGCTATTTGATAAGCTCCTGTATGACAAGGTACAATGATACGTGTTTAAACGCCTTCTATTTGATAAGCTCCTGTATAACAAGGTACAATGATACGTGTTTACACGCCTTCTATTTGATAAGCTCCTGTATGACAAGGTGCAATTATACGTGTTTAAACGCCGCCATTTGATAAGCTCCTGAATGACAAGGTACAATGATACGTGTTTAAACGCCGCCATTTGATAAGCTCCTGTATGACAAGGTACAATGATACGTGTTTAAACGCCGCTATTTGATAAGCTCCTGTATGACAAGGTACAATGATACGTGTTTTAACGCCGCTATTTGATAAGCTCCTGTATGACAAGGTACAATGATACGTGTTTAAACGCCGCTATTTGATAAGCTCCTGTATGACAAGGTACAATGATACGTGTTTAAACGCCGCTATTTGATAAGCTCCTGTATGACAAGGTACAATGATACGTGTTTTAAACACCGCTATTTGATAAGCTCCTGTATGACAAGGTACAATGATACATATTTTAACGTCGCTATTTGATAAGCTCCTGTATGACAAGGTACAATGATACGTGTTTTAAAACGCCGCTATTTGATAAGCTCCTGTATGACAAGGTACAATGATACGTGTTTAAACGCCGCTATTTGATAAGCTTCTGTATGACAAGGTACAATGATACGTGTTTAAACGCCGCTATTTGATAAGCTTCTGTATGACAAGGTACAATGATACGTGTTTAAACGCCGCTATTTGATAAGCTTCTGTATGACAAGGTACAATGATACGTGTTTAAACGCCGCTATTTGATAATCTTCTGTATAACAAGGTACAATGATACGTGTTATAACGCCGCTATTTGATAAGCTCCTGTATGACAAGGTACAATGATACGTGTTTAAACGTCGCTATTTGATAATCTTCTGTATGACAAGGTACAATGATACATATTTTAATACCGCCATTTGATAAGCTCCTGTATGTTAAGGTACAATGATACGTGTTTTAAACGCCTCTATTTGATAAGCTCCTGTATGACAAGGTACAATGATACGTTTTTTAACGTCGCTAATTGATGAGCTCCTGAATGACAAGGTACAATGATACGTGTTTAAACGCCGCTATTTGATAAGCTCCTGTATGACAAGGTACAATGATACGTGTTTAAACGCCGCCATTTGATAAGCTCCTGTATTACAAGGTACAATGATACGTGTTTTAACACCGCTATTTGATAAGCTCCTGTATGACAAGGTACAATGATACGTATTTTAACGTCGCTATTTGATAAGCTCCTGTATGACAAGGTACAATGATACGTGTTTTAACGCCGCTATTTGATAAGCTTCTTATGACAAGGTACAATGATACGTGTTTAAACGCCGCTATTTGATAAGCTCCTATATGACAAGGTACAATAATACGTGTTATAACGCCGCTTTTTCATAAGCTCATGTATGACAAGGTACAATAATACGTGTTATAACGCCGCTATTTGATAAGCTCCTGTATGACAAGGTACAATAATACGTGTTATAATGCCCTTTTTTCATAAGCTCCTGTATGACAACATACAATAATACGTGTCATAACGCCGCTTTTTCATAAGCTCCTGTATGACAAGTTACAATGATACGTGTTTAAACGCCGCTATTTGATAAGCTTCTGTATGACAAGGTACAATGATACGTGTTTAAACGCCGCCATTTGATAAGCTCCTGTATGACAAGGTACAATGATACGTGTTTAAACGCCGCCATTTGATAAGCTCCTGTATGACAAGGTACAATGATCGTGTTTAACACCGCTATTTGATAAGCTCTGTATGACAAGGTACAATGATACGTGTTTAAACGCCGCTATTTGATAAGCTCCTGTATGACAAGGTACAATGATACGTGTTTTAAACGCCGCTATTTGATAAGCTCCTGTATGACAAGGTACAATGATACGTGTTTTAACACCCGCTATTTGATAAGCTTCTGTATGACAAGGTACAATGATACGTGTTTTTAACGCCGCTATTTGATAAGCTTCTGTATGACAAGGTACAATGATACGTGTTTAAACGCCGCTATTTGATAAGCTCCTGTATGACAAGGTACAATGATACGTGTTTAAACGCCGCCATTTGATAAGCTCCTGTATGACAAGGTACAATGATACGTGTTTAAAACGCCGCTATTTGATAAGCTTCTGTATGACAAGGTACAATGATACGTGTTTAAACGCCGCTATTTGATAAGCTCCTGTATGACAAGGTACAATGATACGTGTTTAAACGCCGCCATTTGATAAGCTCCTGTATGACAAGGTACAATGATACGTGTTTAAACGCCGCTATTTGATAAGCTCCTGTATGACAAGGTACAATGATACGTGTTTTTAACACCGCTATTTGATAAGCTTCTGTATGACAAGGTACAATGATACGTGTTTTAAACGCCGCTATTTGATAAGCTTCTGTATGACAAAGTACAATGATACGTGTTTAAACGCCGCCATTTGATAAGCTCCTGTATGACAAGGTACAATGATACGTGTTTTAACACCGCCATTTCATACGCTCCTGTATGACAAGGTACAATGATACGTATTTTAATACTGCCCATTTCATAAGCTCCTGTATGACAAGGTACAATGATACGTGTTTTAACACCGCCATTTGATAAGCTTCTGTATGACAAGGTACAATGATACGTGTTTTAACGCCGCTATTTGATAAGCTCCTGTATGACAAGGTACAATGATACGTGTTTTAACGCCGCTATTTGATAAGGCGCTATTTGATAAGCTTCTGTATGACAAGGTACAATGATACGTGTTTTAACACCGCTATTTGATAAGCTCCTGTATGACAAGGTACAATGATACGTGTTTTAACACCGCTATTTGATAAGCTCCTGTATGACAAGGTACAATGATACGTGTTTTAACACCGCTATTTGATAAGCTTCTGTATGACAAGGTACAATGATACGTGTTTAACGCCGCTATTTGATAAGCTTCTGTATGACAAGGTACAATAATACGTGTTATAACGCCGCTACTTGATAAGCTCCTGTATGACAAGGTACAATAAAACGTGTTATTACGTCACTATCTTCACAAGTCCTGTTTGACCAGGAGCAACAACGTGAATGTTATGCCATCCGGTAGACATTTTGTACTTTCAGTTTCTGCAACCATAATAATCAGTATATAGGTAATGTAGTGTATACTTATATATCTATAAATTCACCTAATTTAGGTGGCCATTTACTAGATATATTGGAATGAACATAATCAACAACTGCAAGTATTATATCACGATTTCTTTACATGTTTAGTTTCTTAGCCTAGGTTACACAGAAATACCGTATTCGTTCCGTGTATTCTTATTTTTGTGTTCGAAGACTGACGGAAATGGCTGATTTCAGACTGACTAGTCTAGAGTTCCTTCCCCTTACACTACTTTCCATAGTAAATGTAGGCAGGGAACCAGACTATAGACTGACGTCCTTTGATTTTTGAGCAATTCATATGAATGATTTCAATATGAAAATTTAAATGTAGATTTGTAGCCAAAAATATAGAACCTGCTCAAACTGGTAAGCAAAGAATTTATACATAATCAAATGCAGTCCATTATATTTTCAGGGAACACCGTGTCACATATCAGAGGTTGCAGCGACAATGAACACTTCTCCTTCCTTTCAAGTCTTTCATATAACAGAAGCGCATACCAGCGTCTGGAGGATCTCAAGATAAACAACGAGACCGCGTGCGTATGGGACGGTCAACATCTCGTCTGCTTAACCAAATGTGATACAAATTTTTGTAACGGCCCTCAACTTAAGGAAGTAATAAATAGTGCCACTGTGATCAACCTGTCTTCAATTTTAATGTTTGTTATAGTTTTAGCAAGCAACATATTTCACCGAAAGTAAAAAAGGAGAAAATCAGTGATTTCCATATAAAGTAAAAGAAAAAATTCAAGATAAAATGAGTGTATGCATTTTAAAAATAGGGATGTAAAACTTCATTTAAACATTTAAGAGTTTATGTTAAGTACTTAAAAACGTAAATCTAATAACAATAGCATCAACCATAAAAATACTGTACTTATTTATAAATAAGATATGTTAAGCATTGTTATATGTCTTATATTTTCCATTTCATATTTAGCCAAAAGACATTCTTTCTATATCTCTATTTACCTAAGTGTTTCATCTTTTTATATGATACAATGAAGAAATTAATGGTTCGAATTTTCAATATGTGTTGACTATTATCTAAAATAATATTGCATGTCTATATTCAAAGATAAAAACGTTTTCTGTTGACTTTGGTCAATTTTATTGCTATTTATTATTCTAAAGCCCCAAACATAATACAGAAAAGTTTCGTTTTTTCTCCACGATTCTTTCAATCCTTTACAAAAATCACTTTGGTATAAAAATGCATCATTGTTTGTTTGTTTATGTATTTGTTTGTTGTTTTTTGTTGTCTTCCCTTTTCTATTCTACTCGAGCTCTGTGACAATTGTATTATAATAAATACATGTAGTATGTTCACCATTGAACTAATTGTTATTGTTGTTATTTTCAGCTTGGTCATTTTGATCATTTTTATAGTTATTTTGCCAGACTGCTACAATTTATTTCATTTATTTAGATTAATAAATAACTCGTCCCCATTTTGCTTCTACTTACTGCTTTTATGCACAGGCAGAATGAAACGCCTCAGTTTGTCTCGTTGTTTATGACTTGACTGTGTTGACCTTAAGTTCTTTATAAACGGTAGTGGTCATTTTTACATTATGTCTTTAAGTCATCATTTATCAACATCTCTGACCATGTGTCTAGAGCAGCTTATTTTACATTTCTTGTCCCTTATGTTCCTATCCTATAGTATATGTTCGAATCCCATCAGGGAGTTTGAACTCTCTCCTGTGAAGTAACTATCCAGAAAGCCTATGGAATGTAATGTAAAGGGAAAAAAAGCTTGGAGAGGTGCCCGAAAAAATTCTTTTAAAATGTTGTTATGATTAAAACCTAACCAGTCTTTAAACCTTTGTAAGTAAGTACGAAAATCGGTTCGTTAAATGCATTTGCTTTTCTTCATGAACAGTCACATTCACCAAAATTTCTTTTTGAGTACGTTAATAGATTAGATTTTGTCATACCAAATGTTCGATCTATGACTGCATATACTTCGATTTCTTTATACATGTAGCACTTATGTTATTTTTGTTAGATTGCTATATATGTGCACATGTTATCAGCAAACCATACAAAAAACACGATCAATAGAGATAAGAGAACAGGTTTAAGTAAATATTCGATTTCAGTTAAATTTGATTGGTTATCTAACGGGTCCGATTGAAATAGGTTATAGATAAAAATATATACGTCATTGGTAACTTCCTTGTTCGTTTTATTATTACATTTTATTGGTTATTGCTCTTTTCAATGAGTTTTGATAATGATAATTCGATAAGTTATCTTTGATGACACCATGTTTATGAACATGCAAAAACGGTTTTTTTTTTTGTTTTTTTTTTCTCCAATCATTTTATTATTATTTTTTTTTATTATTTCTTTTTTAATATTATCTTTAAAACTGACCAAAGTCTTTGTAGATGCTTCAAACATATTTCTAATCAATCCCAACTTTTCGACCGTTTCCGTCAGTCTCCGAATATTATTTATAATAACCGAGATGTTTCGATTGACTTTGTCAATTGTATATTCATTTTTCTCTCTAAAACAAACAGGTAGCTAAACTGTAATGATCAATAAATGAAACTGAACTAACTAACTAACTAACTAACTAACTAACTAACTAACTAACTAACTAACTAACTAACTAACTAACTAACTAACTAACTAACTAACTAACTAACTAACTAACTAACTAACTAATTAACTAACTAACTAACTAACTAACTTACTAACTTGATTAAATGAAAACGTGAAGCTACTCATTGCAAAAAAGAAATATCTGAGAAAGTAGTCTCAAAAATAAATATGAGTCATGATTTCGCCAACTTTCATATTTATTTTTCATATTTGCTTTTCACAAATATGATATATATTTGGCTGATATAGCATCATATTTCATGGGTAAAATTTTCTTTAACTCATTATAAATTACACTCACTGATTATAATTACCAAGATACTTTGTTTTTCTCATTATTGTTATGATTTTATACCATTTTGTAAAACTTTATTATCCCTAATAAGCACCCCAGATTCGTCTAAACCACATGTAGTAGATATGGTTATAGGTACACCTATGTGGAATAATTATATGTACGATATGCAATGTATGTAATGTACGTTGATATGTGATATATGTGCGATGATATATTATTAATACATGCACATTTAAATTTGGTAAATGTACACTCTAAATGATATTTATAACTATTTATATGTGACATATGTGTACAATGATATGAGGTGTACGTGTAACCTAATATGCTAGCGTGTTAGGTCATATTTATAGATCTGTACATATTTCTTTTATCAGTGTGCAAACATAATTATTAAAAAAAAAATTATCACATACTCGTACCGATTTAGCGTTATACAAACATAATGTAAAGACGCGCTAAATGTTAGCGTTATACTATAGGCGCGTCAATGTAAAATGACTCTTATTTCATTTTAAACGGTCTTTATTTTTTGTATGTGATAAATAGAATATTAAATTCGTGTAAGTTCATTACAGAATTTATTGCACTCGTTGAATAAAATAATATAATGCTCGCCAGAGGCTCGCATAATATAATTTTATTCAACTCGTGCAATAAATTCAGTATTGAACTTACACTCTTTCAATATCCTCTATGTATGGTATACGTTGACTAACATCCGGCATATTTGCACTGATATAAATGTTACATCGCTACTTCTTTACCGATGTACATATATCATTAAGCAGTGTACATACATATACATGTTCATATACCGGTACATTAATATATGGTATACGTTCACCAATATGCGCTACATACATGTGTACTTATATCAATATATCATGTATATATAGTGTAAGTGTACTGATATATGGTATATTAAACCAGACAGTTAAATTACAGTCAAAATTTATGATAATGAATAAACTAACCTAGCTTTATTTTAACATATATAAAATAACTGTTAGCATTTGATTATTATACGATGAAAAATTAAAATTAAAAAAAAATTACTTTGATATAAGCTGTTAGTCATTCAACATTTTTGCGAATGTATGCACATTTGTTCTGTTTCTTTAGTAGCGAGCTATGTTAATATTCATTTTTATATTTGTTTATCATTCTTATCCTATATTTTAAATGAATTTCAGGCATTCAATCATCAAGTGTTCTGGTAAATTACCGATATTCCATATGCTTTTGGACCCATGGCTAAAATTTATTAAGATTAAGAGAGTCTTTTTATACCCCCGCACAACAAAGTTGTAAGGGGATATACTGGAATCAGCTTGTCCGTCTGTCTGGCCGTCAGGACGTCTCCCCCCCAGCCGGCCGTCCGTCGGTTTTCCTTGTCCGCGCAATAACTTAAGATTCCTTTGACCCACAGTCTTCAGTTTTCATATATTTGACTATTGATTTTGAGGTCACTGGGTCAAAGGTCAAAGTCACAGGGGCTTTGACTAAAAAAGCTTGTCCGCCCAATAACTTAAGATTCCTTTAACCCACAGTCTTCATATTTAATATCTAGATTGTTCATGATTAGTAAATGATCCCTATAGATTTTGAGATTACCAGGTCAAAGGTCAAGGTCACAGGGGCCTTGACTAATAAAAAGCTTGTCCGTCCAATAACTTAAGATTCCTTTAACCCACAGTCTTCATATTTGGCATGGATATTAGTCATGATTAGAAGATGATCCCTATTGATTTTGAGGTCACTGGGTTAAAGGTCAAGGTCACAGGGACTTTGACTAAAAAAGCTTGTCCTCCCAATAAGTTAAGATTCCTTTGAACCATAGTGTTCATATTTGGCATGGAGGTAAGTCATCATTAGTAGATGACCCCTATTGATTTTAAGGTCACCAGGTCAAAGGTCAAGGTCACAGGGACTTTGACTAAAAAAAAACTTGTCCGCCCAATAACTTAAGATTCCTTTGACCCACAGTCTTCATATTTTGCATGGAGGTTAGTCATGATTAGTAGATGACCCCTATTGATTTTAAGGTCACCAGGTAAAAAAAGGTCAAGGTCACAGGGGCTTTGACTAAAAAAGCTTCTCCGCCCATTAACTTAAGATTCCTTTGACCCACAGTCTTCATATTTTTCATGGAGGTTAGTCATGATTAGTAAAAGACCCCTATTGATTTTAAGGTCACCAGGTCAAAGGTCAAGGTCACAGGGACTTTGACTTCAAAAAATGTGTCCGCCTAATAACTTAAGAAACCTTTGACCCACAGTCTTGATATTTAGCACTGAGGTTGATCATGACCATTAGGTGACCCTTATTGTTTTTGAGGTCACTTGGTCAAAGGTCAAGGTCACTAAAAAGGTTTTTCCGCTCAATTGCTTAAGAATGCTTTGGTCAACAGTCTTCATATTTGGTATTGACTATTGAGGTAGTTTATGACTAATGGATGTCCCCTATTGATTTTTAGGTGACTGTGTCAAATGTCAAGGTCACAGGGATTTTTACTATAATAAGCTTGTCTGCTCAAATGCTTTAGAATGCCTGTCCGCCGTGAATTGATTTTGACATTTTCACATTTGAAGCATGTAGAATACATAAATTAGCAATGCACTGGCTTAGTTACCTCAAATTTGGAAGGGAGGTTATCCTTGAGCTCTAAATGGCCACTGTTGATTCTGACAAAGTGGTAGGCGGGGTATTCTATTCACGCCATGACAGTGGCAGTTCTAGTTTTAAATTGACCGCTACACCAGAAAAGTAGCATGTTGCTTTTACATATTAAAGTTGAATCATTTTATTCATAGGGGACGATGCTCTTAGTCTGTTTTTGTTGTTCTATTTTGTTTTGAAAAAAAAAAATATTTTGAAAATTGAGAGAAATGAAATATCAAGTAAAGGTATGTCCCCATGTCGTTTTCTTTGCGTGTCTGAATTAAATGTGAACGTTAAAATGCTTGTAATGTAACGAAGATAACTTAATCTGTTGATATTGATTAAGATAAGAGGAAATTGATAAGTGTTTTTATTAGATTTGTGTAAGCACAAAAGAAACAAGTGAAAATGAGAATCGAGATTTTAATTTTGATCATTTGCGGATATTTTGTCTGTATGATATGTAAGTGTTTCATAATTTTTAAAATAAAAGATGGAGATCTTTTTAATTTAAGACTAATGAATTCATTTTTATTGTTCAATCAGTTTTTCGATTCTTTGAGTGAAATAAGGTTATTTCCGAAAGAAAATAGTCTCTTTTTTGTCAAAGAATTGGTTGTTTATACATATTTTAGCACTGTATCAGTCCAAATTTGATCAAGTTTTAAATGTTTCTTTTTGTAAATTTTTCTTGTCAAATTATGTGTCTGTGTTGACATCAACTGAGTCAAAATAAGAAGTACTAGGTTGGTCATACTGAAAATAATACTGGCTGTTCATAAATACTGAATACTAGAACATTGTTGACCATGGCTGTTTGCATTGAATACGGTAACTTTGATAAATAATGCTTCCTTGTCAGACATACTGAATAATGGTTCTTTGTCAATCATCCTAAATAATGGTTCTATCCCAGACATATTAAATAATGGTTCAATGTCGGACATACTGAATAATGGGTCTTTGTCGGACACACTGAATAATGGGTCTATCTCGGACATACTGAATAATGGGTCTTTGTCGGGCATATTGAATAATGGGTCTTTGTCGGGCATATTGAATAATGGTTCTTTGTCGGGCATACTGAATAATGGTTCTATGTCGGGCATACTGAATAATGGGTCATTGTCAGACATACTGAAAAATGGTTCTATGTCGGGCATATTGAATAATGGTTCTATGTCGGGCATACTGAATAATGGTTCTATGTCTGGCATACTGAATAATGGTTCTTTGTCGGGCATATTGAATAATGGTTCTATGTCGGGCATACTGAATAATGGTTCTTTGTCGGGCATATTGAATAATGGTTCTTTGTCGGGCATACTGAATAATGGTTCTTTGTCGGGCATACTGAATAATGGTTCTATGTCGGGCATACTGAATAATGGTTCTTTGTCGGGCATATTGAATAATGGTTCTTTGTCGGGCATATTGAATAATGGTTCTTTGTCGGGCATACTGAATAATGGTTCTATGTCGGGCATACTGAATAATGGTTCTATGTAGGGCATACTGAATAATGGTTCTATGTCAAACATACTGAATAATGGGTCTTTGTCAGACATACTGAATAATGGTTCTATGTCGGACATACTGAATAATGGGTCTTTGTCAGACATACTGAAAAATGGTTCTATATCAAACATACTGAATAATGATTCTTTGTCAGACATATTGAATAATGATTCTTCTCCAGAATACTGAATAATGGTTCTTTTTCGGACATACTGAATAATGGTTCTTTTTCGGACATGCTGAATAATGGTTCTTTTTCGGACATACTGAATAATGATTCTTTGTCGGACATACTGAATAATGATTCTTTTTCGGACATACTAAATAATGGTTCTATGTTGGACATACTAAATAAATGTTGTTTTTTTGTTGGTTTTTTTTGTCAGACATACTAGATAACGGGTCTGTATCAGACATACTGAATTATGGTTTTATTTAGGGCATACTGAATAATGGATATTTGTCAGACATACTGGAAAAAGGTAGTTTGTATGACATACTGAATAATGCACATTAACATAATAAGTATTCTTCCATAGCTCACATGAATGTGAGAAATTTTGGACTATACTGAAAAACGTTGATTAGCCGCCACTTAGACAATCTTATCAGAAAACAGTATATTGGGGGATAGGAGGGACGCAAAATCGCGCCTTTAAAGCCATTCTGAAATCTTTTAAACTAATAATATATCTAACAAAGAAAAAGTAGGAAGAATATTTGATATTTCAAAGCGATACTTATTTTCAAAGTACACAAAATGAAGATAACATTATGAATAATGATAGGCCTCATGCATGTGTTCCACCATATTGTTAACCAAGACCTTAAAACAAGGACATCTATACTACTGTCTTAACCCATTACTTCATGAGCATTTTGTGAAAAATGGCTGTTTTCATTGAAAAGTCTCCCGTTACAAGTTCAAATTGCTATAATACTATAAAAACTGCTTCAACACTAATCAAACTTGGCACAAATGTTGACTGGACCATTGCACTTGCAACAACATGCTCAGGCTTAAATTTTCTGTTACCATGGCAACGAGGGGACATCTCAAAATTGCCAAAAATCACTATTTTGCGTTGATTTTTTCCATCAAAATTGATTTCGAAGTGCTGCACTTTCTCAATGGATTGAGATAGAGTCAAAAGCTTTTCAGCGTTGGTTACACGTTACCTTATGATCAATCTGGGGTCATTTACAGCCTCTCACAAGTCCAAAATTTTTCTTGGCGATGAGGGGGACTCCGCCCCCCTTCAAACCCCCCAAACAGAAGGGGGCACATCCCCCTTCTGGCAACCCCCTGATGTATCTCTTTTGGTTGGGGGCCGCGCCGAAAAAGAGGTCACTTTTTTTAACAACATTTCTCAAACAAAAACAAGTGTTGGGGGCCTAAATAAGGCATTTTTTCATCATTTGAGACAACAAAATGGGGGGGGGGGTGAAAAAGGCGTTAAAAGGCGTGTATATGAAGTAATGGGTTAATAACGCGGGAATTGTACACTACTGTGTCAATGTGACCTTGACCTTTGCACTAGTGGCATCGAAAGCAATAGGATTTAAAAGTTACATGCACAGGAAATATAGATTAATTTCTTCTGGACAAGGGTCTCCCATTAAGTGTCACTACGACCTTGACCCTTTACATCATTGATCCCAAGACAACTGACAGTCATTTAATGACCAAAGACAATAGTCCTAAGAAGTTTCACAAACCAAGTCCTATTCCTTCTCAAGTTATTGTGTAGACAAAAATTTTATGCTAAGTGTCGCTGTGACAAACCTGTAAGGAAATGGACCTTTTGAAGTGAATGTTCCGTAAGAAGGTTAGTATAAAACATGATTGCATGGGCGAAATTTACTTGGACATTGGTATTATAAAATTTGCGTCCGAAAAAATATCAAACTCATCTAATATTCAAAGACTAGCTCTATAGCATTTAACGCTTACAACTATGTGTTAAAATCTGAAAATTCATGGTTAATTGCAGCATCGAGGACTTTAAATTGTGTACATGAAAATGCATCAGACACCTCTATGTCATTGTATTTTCATATATTTTTTGTTTGCAAAGAATGACTTGAATTTAAAATCCCAGCTTGCATGTTTTTAAATCTGAAAATATAAAGACACTTTAAAATGTGCATCTAAATTGCACAAGAAGCCATCATTTAAAGTGTGAATTTCAAAATGTTTGTCCTGTACGAAAAGTTAGTTTGGTTATTTCAAACTACACCCCCACCCCTCACAACCCAATCCTAGTCAAAAACTTCTGGATCCGTGCCATTAAATATATCTAAAGTATGTATTTCAATTTCAGCCGCTGAAAATAATACGCCTCAAATAGGCCAACCAAATGGTACAACGGTACACAATGGTACGAATATGACACCAAAACCAAATGGTACAACGGTACACAATGGTATGAATATGACACCAAAACAAAACGGTACAACGGTACACAATGGTACGAATATGACACCAAAACAAAATGGTACAACGGTACACAATGGTACGAATATGACACCAAAACAAAATGGTACAACGGTACACAATGGTACGAATAAGACACACAAACATCATAGTAAAAATAAGACCGGACTCCGGTGTTACGCATGCGCATCAACAGGCGGAAACAACGAATGTGAAGATTACAACACATACAAAAAAGCGATGGAAGGCAAAGGCAACGAAAGAATAAAGAAAAATTGTAGCGAAAAATACAGCGTTGCATGTTTTATAGAAACATACGAGATTCATGGTAAGATTTTACAAGACTTGAGCATAAAACTTCATTCTGGTAGTTAGAAATTATACGTTGTACTTTAATAAAGGGAACCATGTAAATGCAATAAAGTAACTAGATTAACATATGTATAGGGCGTTGTTCGGACATATTTCTCTCGAAAAAAAGATATACAAATGATGTTCAATGTTACAGGCGTATTGTAAACTGTTACAAACATTGCTTCAAGATTTAAGGGTTTTTTTTTCAGTGGAAATAATTCATTCAGCAGATGTACCTTTTGATTTAATGAGAGTAAATTTCATTTCATTAATCATCTTTGTTTATATTTTTCTTTGTATTTATTTTATTTTATTTATAATATTTTTTTGCAAGTGGGATTTTTCGTTACCACTGCCCCATTGGAGCCTCTGTAAAAAAACTACATTGATATATATAGGGTGCGAAAAAACCTCAACCGCTATATAGCAGTCGAGTTTTTTCCTAGATGAATCAATGAAAACACTGTACTGCTATATATCAATACAGTTTTTAAATGCTCATTGAAGTGTACTGAGTATAATGGGTTAGAAACAACAAAAGAAAAGTTCCAAACCATGCGATAAAACTTGTTATAATCCAGTAAGGGTAGATCACTGCGTGGCCCTTATTACCGTCTATGTAATACACTTTTTTATCAACAACCTCAAACCCAGCAGGGGCTGCCAACCCGTTGTTGCTTGAGACAACGCTCTCAGTACTCACCCTGGATGAACAAGTTTAGGGTTAGGGTTAGCCCTACTGGTTGGTTCCAGGGACGCATTCGAGCTTATAAACATTTTGCGTAGCTTCCTACACATTAGAACTAAACCAATTCAGTAAAAACAATAATCAAAGCACAGAAAGCGCTGAATTTGTTTGGGTCTCAGAATGTCAGAAAGGTGAAGGTTGTAAGATTTTAAACCAATTTGTTTGTACATGTATAGTATCACCAATGCTGTTTCCAGTGTTATAACTATAGTAAATTGGCTATAAGACTAACTGCAACACTGATATTTAATTCAATGTTTATTTGGCTTAAATAATTAAAAAAAAACAAAACAAAAACATGGCATTGAGATGAGTTGCATTAACTGGGATTTGAATTCTAGACCTCTCGCTTTCAAAGGGAGCGTGTAAACCCCTCGACTACGGGGAAATTATAATAGCAGTCTGAAGAAACCCATATTATTCTCATTTAGGGTTTATAACCCCTTATTAATGTCGATATATTTTGTTCTTGGTAAACCTGTTGTTTAACACTGATGTAAATAATCATGGAGCTTAATATAAACATGTATATATACATGTATAAGAATAACACAATATTAGTAATCTTCAGCCAATCGGGAACTATTTTTTCTTTACGAAAATAAATGCGCCTGTCATTTGAAAAACTTTACGCACTGATCTCCCTTTATTTTTTCGGCGTTAGTGTACATATAAAGGGAAGTAACCGCTTCGAGGAGTTTGGACTACTTTCGGTATTTGCAGATAAGCCAATGAGAGTCTGAAATTTCGCTACAATTATTTGTTTGGTCTGACGACCCAAACAAATAAAAACGATTGAAACAAATTTATAATGGTTATCAGCGTCAAAACCTCATGTAAATGTATCATTATTATGGGCTACGTTCATATGTAGAGAAGTAAAGGGAGACCACTGTGTAGAAACTTGTTGTACAATCTATATGTTTTCAGGGGCCACCGTTTCCCACATAAGAGGCTGCAGTGACGATATACACTACTCCTTCTTCGCAAATCTTCATCAAAACAAAACCAGCCCATATGAGCGTTTTAATGATCTTAAGCCAGACAACGAGACCGCGTGCGTCTGGGATAACCTGCATCTCGTCTGCTTAACCAAATGTAATAACAACTTCTGTAATGGCCCTATTCTTGAGGAAGTAAATGCATCCACGGTGATCAAACTATCTTCAATTTTAATGTTTGCGGCAGTCCTTTTATACAAAATATTCTAGAAGAAGGAGCTACAAAATACCAAATAGCGTTAACATTCTTAGTGTGATATTTTGACACAATGAAAACCATTTCCATTGATGAAAACCTCATAAAAATAATTTCAACTCTTTATTATCTAAGTCAAGGACGTGCATTCAGTTTAAAATGTGCGAGACACATCATGTATATGTCTATTTATAATGCATATTTGTCATGCTCTTGCATAACAATGCGCAGCAGTTTCAGCCATTTTCAATATCAGCATGTTCTTTGTAACGGGTATATCTGTGGCTTTAAATTTGTGTATACAATTTTAAGCAACATGATTGTGAAATTGAAATTTGAACTAGAAGTCAACTACTACCTAGAAGTGACCTACTTTTGCAGCCTTTAACTCAATAAATTGTCTGAATATTGTTACTAATTTTTACGAAATATATTATTTTAGCATCCATTCATGACGATATTTTTTCTAAATTGTCATTTTATACTCTTTCCAAAACACATGATCGTTGTTTATTCATATGGAATAATGACAAAGAATAGTTCATCCGATTTTGTTTAAATTTTCCATTATGCATTATACAGAATTGTACATGTATTCTAAAGAAGAAAACACAACAGCTTCATATTTCATTTTCTGTTTGTTTGTAGCGATCTAGTTCATTGCGTAAGGATTTATGTCAATTCTTACAGTATCACAACAGCACCTTATGTATATTCTCTTACATGACCTTAGGTGTTATCTATGACACGAACATCTAATCTGGTTTAATTAAAAGCACAAAATCTACAATATATATGAAACAGAACTTTCTTGGACTAAGTTAGTTAAATAAACATAAATGAATTTATGCACTACGTACATGTATACTGAAAGAAAAAAGTTTAGCAAGCTTTTCACACCTATTATTTTTTCTTTTTGAGCTTTCGAATGAATACGTTTTTATATGTAAATGATGTACTTATCGATGCTCTTTACACATCTATTGTGTTTGTTCGAAAACCGTGTATTTTATCAGCGAAGCGTAAGAAACTCGAAAATCACGTGCAACGTAAGCACGGCAATTTCGGTAGCGTGTAGAGTCGAGTAATGTACCTTATTGTTTTGAGCTGTTACCACAAACAAAATAACCAGTTTAAAAATCGAAGAAATTCCAATGGGGAGTCGCCAAGGAATGACGTTAGAAGAACGTCAAAGAGCTGTAGGTATGCTCCACGCTGGTATGACGGCAAGAGCTGTCGCTCGGCATTTCAATCGCCATGAGTCTACAATTAGTTGCCTTAGAAACCGTCTGAGACAAACAGGACGAGTCAACGACAGACCCAGATCAGGCAGACCACGGAAAACAACGCCACGCGAAGACCGTCACATCACGACGCTTTCTCGACGTAACCGGTTTATGTCCAGTGGGAAGATAGCCCGAGATCTCATGAATACTACTGGGACAAGGGTGTGCCTCAGAACTGTGAGAAATAGGCTTCGCGCGGCAAGGCACACTAGATACTGAACTCCTTGTGAATTTTGACGCCTTACCCCTAACGTCTTTCAGGCTGTACAGTGAGCTAAGGCAACAGGGTTTTAACAATTTATTGTTACAAACTAATTGAAAACTAAATGCTTTATTCAATTATGTACTTGGTTTAATTCAAATTGGTATAGTTTAAATAAACCAGTGAAATATTTCCGAACTTGCTAAACTTTTTTCTCTCAGTATATTTAGTAAAGTTTTTACCAATATAAATAATTTGATGGTGCTCAACCTAGCGGCGAAGTGTTCCGAGTTATTCCGTCATATTTGTTTGTACCAAACATGATCATTGTGAAAGTGCATTTTAAATCAGTGATTTATAAATATGCTTAGAATCGCGATTTATCAATAAAATTATATATAGTTATACATGTATTTGTCATAAGCGTTGTGATAACTAAAGGCCCGAAGATGGCCGAGGTCAAACGAATGTTTACGGCACATGATTAAACGAACGACTTGTTATTTTCCGGACTATTTCACGACTTTTCACTTTTGTAGAACTCGGTGTAATTCTTTTTGAAATACCCTGAAACAACTGATTGCTGGATTTTACTCACAAAGTGCAAACCCTTTTAAAAATAGCCAACATCTGTAATATAAATATTGGTTTACGGGTCTGAACAAGCCGCGGTGTGAGCAAAGAATGCAGTGCTCTATGCAGAAACAGTTGCAAACAAAATCTATGTAGTCGCCACAATGGAACATCATGCAAGCTCTGTAGTGAAGCCTTTGGTCGCTGTGTGGTTGTTGTAAAAACGCCATCAATTCGAAAGATATACATGTATATATTTCTTGTGATTTCACGACGCTACACTGTGAACGCAGACAAAAAAAGGACGCCAGCGGCTAGCTTCCCCCCTTTGTTTTTCTTTCATTTCAAGTCCTAATTGTTTCATAAATTGGGTATTAAAAATTTTCCTCAACTGGGGTTTCCCAGAAAAAAATTTCACAAGAAAGGGTTTGTAGAAAAAGTTTCCCTCTACATAATCAAGAAGGGGCAATCGCCTGTGGTTAGTACAATTTACACATATGTATAAAGTTTTTTATATTCCAAAAAGAAAATGTTTTAGTGCCCTTTAAGTCTAAAAAATCAATAATTTTTATTTCTCAAATTCTTTTTTATTGTTTTTTTACATCATAGTCATCTTTTTCTTCTTTTGCGTTTTGCAATTGGTGTAGTAATAGTGATTTTACGTGACAGTCAAACATACCACTGTACTTCCATTTCGTTTCCTATATCACTGCGGTATACCGCACCCCGGATATTGCATGATATTATGAGGACTTTCATCCCATTTCGCGACTTTGAACGGGGAACGAAGGTAAGTTCAGCGACGATATTTTCCAAACTAATGGCTATTTCATTTATCTCAACGGGTTTTATATATCTAGAGGTATTTTTGTAGCTCTAAAAGACGTAAAAGTATTACAGGTATTTGTAAAATTGATTTAAACTACCCCTAAACGATCCGCTGCTCACTAGAAAATACTGACCGCGATATGTTAGAATCGTTAGAAATTATTATATTACCAATATTGAAAAAAAAATTGAATCGAGCAATTTTTTTTATTCACAATCCAAGTATGCCTTGTCCAAATTTTAGGCAAAAAGTGTGAAAGTACAAAAAGATACAGGCCAAAAAAGATACAAGAAAGTGTACCGAGTATTGATTTTAAGTTGTACAGAGTATTTGCAAAATAGCCCAACTTTAGTGTACAGGAGTATTGCAAAACAGAATGAGCACATTAGTATGGAAAATCGATATTTTTTTTCTAATTTTTTTCACGTCTGTTTATCGATTCATTTCATTTTTTTCTGGATAATTGTACTGTTTATTATGGATATTTATTCAAATATTCAGATTCAACAATGCATTTTCAGTTTATTACTGTTTTTTCCTTTACCGTCAAAATACAGAGATTTAATTTCCCATTTGATTGAAAATCACCTATGGATATGAAATTAAAGTGTGTGCAGGGTCGGAAGCAGGGTACAACCATCAAAATTGCCGACGATAAAAAACCCTTTAAAGAAACTTTGTCAAGGAGACCTTTCTCTGAAAGGACAAGAATTTAAAAAAACATATTTAGATGGACATTAATTTAATAGGTTTTTACAGGGCAAGTTTGCCTTAAAGAAACATATCGAACACGCATATAGGCCGCACTTCATAAAATACAAAGTAATTACTCTTTTTGAACAACATTTCTCAAACGAAAAAAAACCAGTGTTTGGGCCTAAATAGCGCCCATGTTTTACACTAATTTGAGGCCCTCAAAAGGGGTGGGGTTGTAAAGCCTTCAAAACAGGCATTTATGAGGTAAAAAGGTTATAAGGAACATAACCTTTTTATAAATTTTTTTATTGCATCTGCTGCTGCCCTTTATCATAATTCTTATCAAAATCCATTATTTTCGGTTTTTTAGCTGTACCCGCTTCGGCAGTCATACGGTAACTCATTGCTAAGGCGTAACAAAATTTCACGTGCAGACGGTCTGCCGTTGCTATCTAGAGTGCAGTTGCAAAATGTCCGAAAAGTTACCTTTATATATGGATAATTTTTTGGCATAGTAGGGAAGTCGGTTGATATGAGATTTTGGGTACACTTGCTTCAATACCGTTCTAATATTGACAATCTTGAGGCAGTATTAATGCACTTTGGGTGCATTATTTTTTTACTTATTTAAAGTAAGATATGCAATTTAATTATTAACAAATTCTGGATAAGGTTGATCCTTCCGATATCAACGAGAACATTTTAACACAGAAAACTGAGATTTTTTCACGAGCAGGAATGAAAATCTGGATTATTTCGCAGATGTTTCCAGTAAAGTAACTCCGAATTCTGCATATTCTGCAACATATACTAGTAGTGTAAATAAGTATACACAGTAAGAAATATTTAAAATTAAATGTGGTAAATACTTTGTGTTTTACTCTTTATTGATAACCAATACTCGTTACACTAAAAAGCAATACTCGTGACACCGGCGGGCAACTCCAAAGCAATACTCGGTACACTGAAATGTGTATTTATTCTCAAAATGCACTGTCATCTGACGGTTCTATTGTTGATTGAACATTTACAACATAAACATTATCATCATTATCACATTTCACTCGATTCAAGTTTTTTTCTTTTAAGGAAGTATATGCACAAAAACATCAAATTTGACTGATCCGAGCTCATTTATCACGTGAGCCAAAGAGACGAATTTTACCTCTCCTAATTACATTTCAAAGCTATTTCTCAACATTTTTGGGGTTCAGTAACTAGAGAAATTATCGAAGCATTTGTTTTTCTACAAAATTTATATCAAACCAATTCAAAATGACTAAATATCGTCACTAAACATACCTTCTTTCCTCGTTCGAAGTCGCGAAATGGGATGAAAGTCCTCATAATATCGAGCAATATCCGGGGTACGGTATACCGCAGTGTATATATGTCATCTTCAACTATAAGCAGCTCGCATGTTCTACATACATTATACGGGTTTTTTCTGTCTGTAGAATGAAAAAGTACTCATTTTTTTACATAATGTGCCCTTAAAGACTGATAAAATGGCAAAAGGTGACTATGGCGTTGGTTGAGCTTCAGAGCTTGCGAAAGTTCTCACAATAAAACACGGCATATTATGGTGGCTTATTTGTGCCATTCGTGTTTTCGCTCCGCGCTCCCGCCATTTTATTTCTTAAATCTGACCCCGCCACCCCGTGGGCGAAGTTTTATTTATTAAACTTCGTCCCGCGCGTGTTTTCGTTCTGTGACCCCGCCATTTTAATTTGTTAATTCTCGACTTTTCGCTTGGCGGGGTCGCGGGTGGAAATACGTATGGCACAAATTAGCCACCATAGCATATAGAAGACGAACACCTAATTTGTCGTGTTTGTTCGTTTTTTGTTGTTGTTGTTGGGATTTTTTTGCAATAACTAAGCGGTTGGTCTTTTTACCTCAAGACACGCCTAGACTACCCTAGACTACCCCAAGATACGCCAAGACTACCCCAAGACACTCAAAAACACGTTTACCTAAATGTTAATACGGTCTTAATTTTACATTGTTTACAGGAGGTAACTATACGACATTGAATTATCTCCCTTCATTTATTTACTTGTACATTTTGTAATGTAATATTATAAATTATCTTTGTGCAAAATAGTTTACAATATTGAAACAATGCCAAGGTTACCGGGTTTTGGCGAAGTGCAAGTTTAATATTGCGACAATGTCATTTTATGAGTAAAGTATTTTTGATGCCTTACATATTAAACGCATAATTTTTTTTTCTGTAAAGTTGATTTAAAAAAATATTCACGGAGAGAGTTTTCAAAAAAGCTTTACAAGCTTCCTACTCAATCCGTAAATTTTATTTTATGTAATTTATTATGTAAATGTGTGGATTATTAATAAGATATTGTTTAAACTAAAAAAATATTCATAAAGAGCATAAAATAAATATTTTACTAATGAAAAAAAGTTCATACATAATTGACCATATTTGTATGGAGGGCGATCGTTTGCCAAAATTCAGACATGTAATGTGTTCCTTTTTGAAAAAACTACTTTTGAAAATGCGAACATTGTATGTCTAGCATTTTTTATTACATTCGTGCACAGGCAAATGATATGCCTCTTAATCCATATTATTAATTGAAGGCACCAGCTTTTAAATAACAAGTTTTACATGTAAATCTTAACAACCGACCTAACATGGGGAACACAACAACTTTTACAAGTTCGTATTTACCATTGGCATTTTAATAATACATAAGCATGTTTTACCACACTTGTAGATATATATCTGTACCTGAAAACACAAATGAAATGTAAAACTCGAATGCAGAAAATATAATTTAATAAAACATGTTCCAGTCGTAGAAACTACAACAGTACGTTTACACAGTCTACATGTTTAAAATGACAAAAGTAGATTCACAAAGTTTAAACGATTCTAAGTCATGCATGACGCCCCGCCTCTCTCTGAGTATTTACGATCTTCTATCACGGAAATGTACGGACAGGTATAATACCCGTCGCCTCTCTCCTATTTCTCAAATAAAGTGAAGGAAAACACGGCGTCCATTCTAACTTTTTTTTATTTCTATAAAAGTCCAATCAAGTATTGGTATCAAAATGAAAGATTACTCCATAAGCTTTCTATGAGTGCCTTCGGAAATAAAAATGAATTAAATAGATGTATTGAATTTTAGGGTTTTTTTACTCTGAAAATAACAACTATCGAATTGGTAAGAAAAACACGGCGTTCCCTCCAACTTTTTTTTAAGTTTGTAATATATTTTTGATAATTTTGGATTAAAATAAAAAGTGTGCTTCATACGATTTATGATATATTATTATATAATGCCTAAAAACAAAAAATGAATTAAATCAAACTGAATTAACTTTTCGTTAAAAAGTTTATCATGTTACTTTCTGTAAAATAGAGAAAATAAGAATCCCTAAAGAACGCTCAAAACGAAAAAATTGAGAATGTTGCAGGCCGGTTTGATTGAGCCTGCTCATGGACGGTAATGGAAAGAGCAAGTTATCGTCCACGCCCCCTAGCACCGGGCTTAAGCAAAATTCAACATGAACTGGTACAATTTTGAAACATTCGCAGATGTGTTAATATGGCGATTATATGGAACCTTCAATGTGTGACACGTAAGTGCCATACCATGAAAAACGGCATATGATACACAAGTAAAAAAAAAAACACACTCTGAAATTCAGTAAGAAAAAACATGGCGCCCCCTACTTACTTTTTTTATTTCTTGGTCAATTTTGATAATAACCAGATCATCAAGGAAAGGCGGCGTTGATAATTTTAGATTTCAAGTAAAAGAATCCTTTATGAACTTTCTAGTGATGCCTTAAAATGAAAATTAATTATGTAGAGGTATTAAAAAAAATTTGTTTCTAACTTATCGTTGTTTATTTTTTTTTCTCTTAAATCAACACTCATATATTCGGAAAAAATAACGTCGCTTCCTTTAGATTACTTTATTCAAAAGGAAATTGAATATTGAATGAAATTTAAGACCATAAGCTTGAACAAGTATATTAAAAATCTGGAACAAAGTGATCCCTCGGAAGCATTAAACACAACAAAAATAACATAAGGATTGCAGATTTCGGTTTTGATTGAGTCTGCACATGAGGGATAATGAACAAGTGCAACATCCCTCATGCCCCCTAGCCACCGGCTTGAACCGGTACTCAATTCTCAACACTTAATAGCGCTGGCATCAATGATCCCGAAGGACCAGAAAAAACACTGAAGTGAAGTACGGGGCAACTTTTTACAGCTGCCACACGGCACTTGACACCTGCTGTTGTGAAGTATTAAAATCTGGAAACAAAGTGATCCCTCGGAAGCATTACTTCACTACAAATTACATAAGATTGCAGACTCGGTTTGATTGAGTCTGTACATGAGGGATAATGAACAAGTGCAAAAGTTTTATTCATACTGAAAATACCTTTTTAAAGATTGTATATTATGTGCTACGGATAAGTATTTTCTTGATTTCGGAAAGGAAATCTCGATGGCCGCTTTAAAATCCTATTTTTGCAAATACTTGCATAGTTTTTTGTTGAAAATGAAATTTGTGCCAATACATTTTTCAATGATACCAATAAGATATATTGGATGGTTATCAATGAAATTACTCCCTTGAAGTTGGGCATTGTTTCCCCTAAAAAATTTCCAAATTCGCCGATGTTTCTCAGGAATATATGATAACAAGATCAACAAGGAAAGGCGGCGCTCAATGAACGCACCCTACATGACCAGCCAGCAACAAGAACAAGTGGCAGGAAGCCAGGCGGACCCAAACAAAACACAGGACAGGGGCACTAGGCATAGCACGGACAGGCTAATACACTAAAATGATAAATAATTTGTAACTGATAAGAAACACGATGTTAAATTATAAGGTAATGCACAAGTTATCTTCATCATAAATTGGTAAAATCAGCAATTTTCAAGTGATGTTGCTAGTGACAAACTTTTGTAACAAATGTAACATATATATATGTTATGAAAAGTGCCGTATGTTGTCCTTCAGTTTATTTAAAAATATGGGAGAGGCGCCGTTTTATACCTGTCCGCAATAGAAGTTCGTAAATACTCCGAGAGGGGCGGGGCGTTATGCTTGACTTGAAATCGTTTTAACTTTGTGAATCTACTTTTGTCATTTTTTAAACATGTTACTGTGTTAACGTACTCTTGTAGTTCTACAACTGGTAACACGTTTTCTTAAACTCTATTTTCCGTATTTCGAGTTTTACATTTCATTTGTATATTAACAGATCTATAAGTGTGCAAACATGCGTATGTATTGCATGCAATGGAAGATACGAACTTGTAAATTTGTTGTCGTTTTTAGATGTTAGGTCAGTTGTTACGATATATATGTAAACTTGTTATATAAAGGCCGTAACCTTCAATTAAAAGATTGAATTAAGAGGCATACAATAAAAATGGTAGGCATACAAGTTTGCATTTTCAAAAGTCATTTTAAAAAGGAACACTTTACATGTCTGGAATTTTGGCAACGAACGCCCTCCATATATTTGATGTATTGATGACATGTAAATAATCAGTCGTCGTATATAATAAAACTTACGCAATATATAAGTTTCTTGGGGTGTCTTGGGGTAGTCCTGGGACTGAAAATGTGTATGTTTCTGTCCCAGGGTAGTCTTGGGGTGTCTTGGGTTGTCTTTAGGTAAATAGACCGACCCATTACTTAGTCGTATTTTGCGGAACAGAAGACACGAACAAGCATTCTTTCGCTCCGGCACATGAAAAAACGGCATGGCACAAATAAAGATCCATAACCTTCACGAACTAAAAAAGGAAAGCAAAATACATTCTTGTCCTATAAACTTTATTTTTGATAAATATATTTACAAACAAGAGCTATTGCATTACACGAATAATGCGTCTTCTTAACGTACGTCGTTTACAAGGGACACTGTCTGTTGCATTCATAAAGCTGGAGACATGCGCATTCATCCAGTTGTTCGGCGCACGCGGAACACAGGCCAGATAATATAAATCCTACAATAGAGCCAGTTTGAGCTGGGTCGGTGTAATCTATCTCTGAAAAAGGTAAAAGTTACGTTTATTCAAAGTTGATAGTTAGCGACAGTGAAAAGGTACAGTATAATTCAGTTCAGTCAAAAATATTCCAAAATAAAATGTTTTGTGTGAGGAAGTAGATCTATTGTTAAACAGAACTTAAATATCTGAGTAATTTCACTAGAAAAGTAAAGAACTATCCTGTATATTTTACTTTAGAACTTTATAATGGCAAGAACTATCTTTTATATGTTTTGGCCAATGAGATTCCCAAATTTCTTTATTTTTTTTTTGTTTAAAATGACTAATGAAAACTCTTCATATATTCAGTACTTCCCTGTAAAATTTTCAGGAAGTCAGACTGATTTTAAGGGGAAAAGGTTTAAAAATGGAAAAAAAGTAGTTCCAACATGGCATATAAAAACGATATATACATAAATTTACTTACTTATACCCTTGGCAACGATTTCCTTGTTAAACATATCTTGGACTTCTTTCCTGGCCAACAAGGTTTCGCTTATTTGTTTTGATTTACGCACGTGCTCTTTAAATGTTTTATAATCATTGCGCGTGACTGCTGATGATTCAACTGCAGACACCTTAAAGAAATATAAAAAAGTCTTAATATCATAGTCATATCTTTAGAAAATATATACACGAACTTCCCTACATTTCAAATACATGTATTTATTTTGCACGGAACAAAAAGAAAAGAAAAAAAATTTCGTACAAAATAAATGTTGTCAGAGGAATGTTTGTAGTTTAAACATTTATTTCACGAGGCCGCAATTCAACAATTTTATGTTACAACATAATTATATTATCAACGTGAAATGTTTGGTCTAATTACAAGACAAAAAATAACAACAAGTAAACAAAGACGAAGCACGTTTAAGCTAGAAAAACCAAAACAAGCGAATTTTAGAAATCTATGATGACAAAAATTAAGGTGAAGTATTTCAAGTATTTCAAGTGTAATGCCAAAAAAAAAAAAAAAAAAAAAAAAAGAAGAGAAAAAATGTATATAATGAACAGAAAATTCAAGTCTTTTCTATTAATACAGGGTTTATTTTCATCTTGTGGTATGAAAATTATCATATTTCACTCGTGGCTACCGCCACTCATAAAATATTTATTTTCATACCACTCGATGAAAATAGACCCTGTATTTATAGGAAAAAAGCTTAAATATCCTCTATATATTATTGAACAGTTTCTAAAACAATAAAACATAAACACTTTGATAAATGATTTATAAATAAAGTAAATAAAAGTTAGCTTACCTGTTCTAAATTTTTCTTTACAGCCTTTGCCGACGAATAGTTTCCCGTCCATCCCCATAACATAAAAATAGTGAATAGAATATATGATAAACACATTGCTTTAACAGTGTACATTCTGACTCCTCAGCAAAAACTCACAAAAAATAATATTTACTTTGTACAGTATTGTATATTTATAACTTAGCTTGTTGTCACGTTAACGTACATTAGTTCGTGTCATATTACGTCAACGTTGGACACGCAACAACATAGATTGTATATTTTCCGTTTTGACAAATGAATAGATAATGTTTACATCTTACGTAAAAAAACGCTCTGTATCTTGGGCGCAAAAATGTAACTATATAGTTTAATTAATTAAACGCTCCTCTTTCAGTTATGTGTCAAACAATAACGTCAATGCCGTTAACGTCATTAGTCAATACGGTCATCTTTACGTCTAATTACATGTGGAGCCATCCTACGCGATTTTATAGGGTTTTAATTGGCTTCCTCTTTCTCTTTAATCCACGAATGAGAATTTTCTAGGTACGCACGAGAAACAGAGTAAATAGCATCAATGAAGTTGAACTGTTACATATGGTGGCTGATTTGGTACACTTTGCACGTTGCGTTATCGAAAGCGACAACACAACCTATATCGTTATCGCCTTTCGTCTTGTCGTCCTGTTGCTAGTGAAGCACGCCAAACGGCGCGTTGTCGTGTGGCGCGATGTCGCCCTGTCGCTTGGTTTATTGGTTTATATTTATACAAGTCGCAAATCCTTCGATTTGAGCCAAGCGACAAGGAGACATCGCGACAACATGTCACAAGACAACGGGCCTTTTGGCATGTTTCGTTAGCGACAGGACGACATGACGAAAGTTCGACAATGCGCCAGTTGGCGCTTTGTCGTGCTGTCGCTAGCAGAAGTGTACCAAATCAGCCACCATAGTTAAACTTTGTTTCAAGAGCCACTTAAGTACTTACTTTTTTGCGCCAAGGTAGATATGAGTTAAACTTCAAACTTAAAGAAGACACCCTACCTTTTTAAGAAATGGAATTAAGTGCGTACGCATTTAGCGATTGATCGAAAGTAAAAAATAAATAAAGAACTTTGAGCAGCCAATTTGGCATGGACAAATATTTACAAATACCATTTTCCTTTCAAACAGACATTTTCAATCAGAAGAAAAATCATTTAAAATAAACGCCCATTTAATTTGATCATTAAGAGTTTGAGACATTGGTGTTTGAATAATGACTTTATATATTAAGCACCACCTCATTATACACATACTGTCACGTTGGTGTTTGAATAATGACTTTATATATTAAGCACCACCTCATTATACACATACTGTCTCGTTGGTGTTTGAATAATGACTTTATATATTAAGCACCACCTCATTATACACATACTGTCACGTTTAGTGTTGAAATAATGACTTTATATATTAAAACACAACCTCATTATACACATACTATCACGTTTAGTGTTGAAATAATGACTTTATATATTAAAACACAACCTCATTATACACATACTGTCACGTTGGTGTTTGAATAATGACTTTATATATTAAAACACCACCTCATTATACACATACTGTCACGTTTAGTGTTTAAATAATGACTTTATATATTAAAACACCACCTCATTATACACATACTGTCACGTAAGTGTTTAAATAATGACTTTATATATTAAAACACCACCTCATTATACACATACTGTCACGTTAGTGTTTAAATAATGACTTTATATATTAAAACACCACCTCATTATACACATACTGTCACGTTGGTGTTTGAATAATGACTTTATATATTAAGCACCACCTCATTATACACATACTGTCTCGTTGGTGTTTGAATAATGACTTTATGTATTAAAACACCATCTCATTATACACATACTGTCTCGTTGGTGTTTGAATAATGACTTTATATATTAAGCACCACCTCATTATACACATACTGTCTCGTTGGTGTTTGAATAATGACTTTATGTATTAAGCACCACCTCATTATACACATACTGTCTCGTTGGTGTTTGAATAATGACTTTAATATGGTGGCTAATTTGGTACGCTTTTGTGCGTCTACTTGGCGCTAAGGACAACACAACAAAGCGCCAAAGGGCGCGTTGTCGGATTTTCGTCTTGTCGTCCTGTCACTAGCGACAACACGACTAAGCACCAAACAGCGCGTTGTCGCGCTGTCGTCTTGTCGTCCTGTCTCTAGCGCGACACGCCAAACGTCGCGATGTCGTGAGGCGCGATGTCGAACTGTCGCTTGGCTTATAGGCCAATTCCTCAATTTGAATCAAGCGCCAATGTGACATCGTGACAACACGCAGCACGACAACGCACCGTTTGGCGTGCCGCGCTAGAGACGGGACGACAAGACGACAGCGCGACAACGCGCCGTTTGGCGCTTTGTCGTGTTGTCGCTAGCGCCAACGCAACACACAAAAGCGTACCAAATAAGCCACCACACTTTATATATTGAAATACTCATACTGTCACGTTGGTGTTTGAATAATGACTTTATACATATAAACACCACCTCATTATACACACACTGTCTCGTTGTTTTTTGAATAATTACTTTATATATTCAAACACCATCTCACTATACACATACTGTCACGTTGGTGTTTAAATAATGACTTTATTTATTAAAACACCACCTCATTATACACATACTGTCATGTTGGTGCTGACACAATGAGCACAGCATATCACTTGCAATGTCTACAATTTTTGGGTCGGTATCTTCACTGAAACCAAGCTCATCTGAAATTCGATGTGAAATAAGATGGTTTTAACAACGGTCAATAAATAAAAGCTGTGTATTATAATTTCATATTTTTTCCGTTTTAAGAGTCTCATTTGAACTACCGGTATGTAAGATTTTAAATTTCTATATTTCTAGGCTTTTGAAACCCAGCGGAGTTTCTTTTAGTCGGTCAGCATACCCATGTAGTCTGACAAGTTCTTAAACTGTCGGCTGCATTTTTCAAACAAAAATTGGTATCAGATATCTTCAAACAACAATGGTTTGATCTTAATGGAGACCAGGAACAGTCTATACACATATGGTGGTGTTAATGTTTATACATGTACCAGTATGGAATAAAAAACATACCTCTTCGACAAGTTACTGGTTGTATTCTCTCATCATTAACGAAGCTTGTTGTGTCTGCATCTTGAATAACGGACATGATTATTTTCGGGTCACCGGGTACAATCAGAAATGCAGAAGATATTAAAATCTCCCCCGTCTTTTCAAGTTTCCGTGTTGTCTGTTTTCTTTTTTGAGCATGCCTTGTGTCACAGTTGGTGTTTGATGTTCCTGTTGACGGTACAGTAGATATTGGCGAAGAAGTTGCTTTAGAAGAGTGAGCTGATGGTGAAGTATTAGTTGCAGACGACTCTTTGCTTGTCTCAGGTGGCATCAATGTAACTGTAGTTTTTTGTTTATTGTCCGCTGAGTTTTCGACATCTTTTTCCCATCTAAAACTATCTGGGTACAAGTCCCTGATATAAGCTGCCACGCATCTTGTTCTCTGAGAACCTTTTGTGCGTTTACATTTTGCTAAAAGTTCATCATTAGCAGACGACTTTTTAACTTCTGCGGAGGAAAATGTTTTGTCGAAAAAGAGGCTCAGAAATGAGCTCTGTCCGGATTGTTCCAAATCACCTATTGTCTGAAGATTTTCAGATTTATTGTTTTTAGTCTTTTTAGGATATCCACTTATGAAGAATAATAGTTCAGCACTAAAAAGAAAGAACAGAACATGACTTGTGTTCGTTTTCATTACTGATTTAACCATTTATACACCGTGCAGTTGTTTGCATGCATCTTATAAACATGTAATGAACACTTAATAGTGTACAAGTAAAGCATTTAAGGCTGTCGCACTATTTATACAAAATATTAAAGTCTTCGATGTGTGCACACTCAATCGAAAAAAAATCCCCCCAGCTTCTCAGCATTCTCAGTTAAACGGCTTTGAATAAGGCAACTTAATTAAAGGCACATTATGCCTCAGACACAACATTAGAAAGGTCAAACATGAGTTTGATATCGTTTAAATAATGGTGTCAGAGCATTTTAGATGCTTATCAACCGAAGAAAGAAGTGTTGAATGTGACACTGTTTGTCATAAAAGTAGCAATATGTAAACTAAGTAGTATTTTAGCTTCCATGCATATAAATACTAAATCTCTGTACATGTATTTAATGCTAAAAAGCAAACGATGCAAAAGATTGTACTTATAATTAGAAAGTGAGTAACTGTTTGGAAACTACAACTGAATAGAAAGCTTTTGATAATAGAAAATTAAAATATTTAAGGAGTAATGGACCTTTAATGTTAATTAGATTAAGCGGGAAACAACTCTTTAAAAATTCATGAAACGTAATAGGAGACTTCAAAAAAATACTGTTGGTTAATTACCATTAGGAAATAATCTCAAATCACAATCTCTCTCATACCATTATTCACCCGATCTCAAACCCGTAGTTAACAAGTTCTTTACCAGATCTCTAAATTGTCCCAAAGTTATTTTGATTACCCCGAAAATTTGAAAACATGAACTATTTTTTACTTCAAAGAATTTCCATATGGTCCATTTAGTTATGATGTTTTTATAAAGTTTAACACAAAAAACGAACCTCATATCTTGGGAATTTGTGTATGTTTCATAAAACATTCGAAAGCTTTCGCAAAAGCCATGATCTTCTTTATTTTTATCAGGATAACTCACAATTCAATCGCAAATTGTCGGTGTTATCCGTAAGTCTCAAACTGTCCAATCAGATTCGTTTAACGCATATTTTCGGTCTTAACCGTCCAACTCCAGATAAGGACTGTTGGTTATCGGCGAATTGTTCCGAACGTTTTTTCTCTCCATATTTTCCAGAATTCTTTAAATCATTATTTTAAAAGATAAAAGAAGACTGTCGTTTTAGGCTAAATCGTGATGAAACCGAACGATTTTACATTTGCACAATGAAGAAGAGGTTAGCTACAACCTTAACCAGCGACACGTTACCGAGGTTACACTAAATAATCATTATATAGAATGTTATCATTAATCACCTCTGCCTTAAAGCATGTTGTCTAGATGTTACAGGCTAAAATTGTGTACTTTACCACGCGTTTCGCCTAATTTATTCTTACATTTGTTTTATGCGTCTGAATTCAACCAAATAAATTCACACACACAAAAAAACAGCAACAACAAAAAAAAAACAGTTATTTTGACAAGTAATCGTTTTCTTGAAATAAATAGTGTACCGAGAACTAGGGACTATTTAAGTATGAATAAAAATTTATGAAAGTATTTTCTAACCAAATAAACTTTAGTTTACACTTTATGTTTAAAGCAGCACGCCTCCAGATTCATGCTAATTTTCATAAAAATTTAGGAAATGTATTTAAATGTGTAATATTGTGAATTTACACATTATCAATGGCACTTTCAAACCACGCAAATTACAAAAAGTGGTCACAATATGCATAAATAGCCTTTACTGCGTTATAGTAAGGCAGTAGAAATATAATTGTAAATACTGAAAAATCAGTCATTAATTGCACATAATATGAAAAATATTACTTGGAGCTTGGAACTTTTTACATTTCCTTACATCCCGTACATTTTTCTCCAGTTTGATTTTATTGAAATATTTTGACTCATCTGGAGGTCAATCCGCCCGTTATGGTACAAAAAGCAGCATTCGCTGCCAAGTACGGACCCGAACATGTCACAAGACATGCCTTCTTTCGAATCCCCTATAACTTTACCAGGTATTTATACTATCAAGTGGTTCTTAACCAATATAACGAAGATAACCTAGCAGGAACGATTAACCATTCGCACATTGCAGGCCGGTTTTCGTACATATGTCATCTAGAGTTATTTCTTATCTCTGACCCTATACAATATGTTACAGATAGACATGTTTTATTTGAATGGTAAACATCCGTAACGTACGTACTTTTTATTTTAGAGCATTTAAGAAACAAGTTTTTTGTCTTTTAAATGCAGTTAAATGTTTATTTGTTTATATTGTATCGTAATAATATAATTGTGTAAGCGTCAGTCAATTGCGACACCGGATTGAAATAGCTGATTATACCAGATTAATCTCCCCTGTCGTATACGAACATTAAAGTGTCGTCCTATTTGAGCCGCTTCACGACAAAACCAACATAATGTGTTTGCGACTAGCATGGATCCAGACCAGCCTGCGCATCCGCGCAGTCTGATCAGGATCCATGCTGTTCGCTTACAAACCCTAATACAAGTAGAGAAACTGATAGCGAACAGCATGGATCCTGATCAGGCTGCGCGGATGCGCAGGCTGGTCTGGATCCATGCTTGTCGCAAACCCATTATGTTGGTTTTGTCATGAAACGACTCATTTTATGTTTGTTTATAAAAATTGTGTTTTTTCACTTATCTCCAAAAAGTGATCAAGTACAATGTAATTTTTAAAATAAATCATAATGGGCTGGGGTGGAGTGTGTGATAAATTGGCATAACCACCATCTGCAATATACAAATATATATAAAAAGTACCGTTTTCCGTGTAGGTTATATTGGAACAGCTTTCACTGAAAACAACATTTATTTGATTTCTTTTGCATCCAGCATGTTGATAAAGCGTCTATTCGTACCGGTTTTGCTCTTCATGACGTCACTGGTGATTTCATCCGCCGAATACAACTGTTTGTGTGTTTTTGACAATCGTGCGCATCCGATATACCGGGAACCAAACGTTTCATCACAAGTGATCGGTTTCCTTCCGCCTAACCAATGCAAGTACTTCCTGTTTCCGGTAAACGCAGATTTTGGGGCTATAATGGTTTATCATCAGGTTGGTTGTTTTAATTTTCAGAAAAAAGTAAATTATCATTACTTACATCAATTCTTTGACCAATTATCGGATTAGTAATGGGGTGGGGCTGGTGCGAGCCTCGGGTGAGGCGTACGTGAGAATTTATCTCGGACATTAAGTCTAATGGCCATTTGTCTCTCACTGGTGATTCAGAAACCATGTGGTCGGTTACTTGCGGAGAAATTGGTAATTTCTGTTTAGTTACCCAGGAAAGCAAGCCGCCGAGATACGAACAAGTAATAATCTAAAATCGTAATTAAAAACAACACATAGAAAAGCAACCAAATTTAATACCAACACATTTTAGTTCTATCTTCAACCGTAAGATATTTATCCAAATGAGCTTCTGAAAATGTTTTAAATTTTGCAGACGATTTGTTACTGTACAAAAAGGGTTAATATTGCAGCCAAAATGAAAATGTTGGTCAAACTGGCCGAATTATTTTTTTATTAATAAACAGTTACTACTTTGCTACATACGCATGATAAAGTCTTCCTCATACTGTCAGACCAGCTGATTTTGCTCTTAATCTAATTGAATAAAGAAGTTAACATTACAGAAGAATGAGGTAGACTGGTTGAGTTGGCTATATAATTTATTGCTTTTATATAATGTGATTAGCTTTGATACAAATCAAGAATATTAAAATTGGGTCAGATTTGGTGACAAGGCTCTATTCTGGTTGCAAAAAGGGGTAAGTGTTGCAAATGTAGTATAGACCTTAGCAGACAATATTCTCTGTTCTGGTTGTGAAAATGACCTATTAGCGCTGCGGTAAAATATGATAGGATAAGGACTATTCTGGTTGAAAAGTGGGTTAGCTCTGCAGTAAAAGTATAGACTCTTTTTAAGACTTGCTAGTTTGTTTTTGGTTTCAGAAGAGGTGTAACAGGATGGCATGGTTCTAAACCTGTGATAAAAGGGCAAAAACTAGGATTATCTACTAGTATTGTTCTATCCAAATCATGATATATTTTATTGTAGAAAGGCTTTATTCACCTGACCATCCCTGGTATGAAACAGGTTTGTGAAGGCAATCCGTCCATCGACGATATTTGTAAGTATACTCATTTAGATGTAGTTGAATGGATATTGCAATTATTCTCTGTTTTGCACAAATTATATGATGCCAACAAGACTTTTTCAAAGAATAGCTCTAGACGTTATTATTAAAGCTTACATTTTCCCCCGTAGACAGACTCTTGCATATTCCAAAGAAATTGGTACAGAAGTAAAATACTTACGGCCAATTTCTTATTCGGATCGAGCAATATTTGTCGTGGAAATGGTGCCGAAAATGACGTCATGGTCACGTGGTATTGCTACACTGTATTTTAAGTTCCGATATGTAACAATGCCATAGAATTGACCGCTATCAAGTCAATCAAAGCAGTCCTCTTAAGCTTATACTCACCATTTTTTCTCAGGTATAGGTCGTTAAATCTTAACAAATAAAACACATTGAACGAATTACTTGAGATCTAAAAATCTAGCTACAATTTTCATTGATTATGGAAATTATTTCGTCGTTGTCGGCCAAACTTAGGTCTGACAATTTAGTTCTTTACCACTTGAGCTAAAAGGTTCAAGATTTTTGATTTTTGTTTATATATTCAGTATTAAGATTTATATTTTCAAGAATTCTTTTATCATTCGTATTCTTGCAATTTTCTACATGCAGTAACTACATCAAAGCCACCCACAAGCCCTACTCCTACAATACCATGGACCACTTCAGGTACAAAACTGTCTTCGTCAAAGTTCTCATCAACAACATTAAAACCATCTACAAGTTTTACTTCTTCGAAAGTAAAGTCCTCTACAGAGATAAACCCTTCTACTGCAAAGTTATCATCAATCACTTTAACACCATCTACAAGTTTTACTTCTACGACATTGAAGTCCTCTTCAGAGATAAAACCTTGTACTGCAAAGTTATCATCAAACTCTTTAAAACCATCTACCAACATTACTTCTTCGACAGTAAAGTCTTCTTCAGAGATAAACCCTTCT